TCTAGACCAAGTGGAGTGCTTTATGGACCAGCGTTTTTTTTGTTGTTTGTTTAGAAGTAGTCACTAGTCAAGCTTTACTTTCTTTTCTTTCCTTTTTTTTTTTTTTTAAAGATTTTATTTATTTATTTGACAGACAGAGATCACAAGTAGGCAGAGAGACAGGCAGAGAGAGGGAGGAAGCTGGCTCTCTGCCAAGCAGAGAGCCCGATGTGGGGCTCGATCCCAGGACCCTGAGACCATGACCTGAGCCGAAGGCAGAGGCTTAACCCACTGAGCCACCCAGGCGCTGCTCAAGCTTTACTTTCTATCTTCCATTAGATTGGGCTCTGGTTTGGGACGGATGTCACAGTTAAGACACAAGAGGGGACTGGTGCTACATTCTTGTGGAATTTTAGGTAAGGGAAAGGGTGGATTCTTCACCTTTGGAAAAGAGTAAATCCAATACTTTCTAATCAGTCTGCACTGTCAAAGAACTTTCCAAGTCAAGATATATTTTTGCTACCCAGTTTCACATCTTAACTACCTACATGAGAAGGGATACCACAAGAAAGAATGAACAGGCAAAAAGCAAAGACTATCAAGAATGCCTATGGACAAAATGAAAACAATGGTCGGCTCATCATTTCAGGGCTAAGTGAAATGTGGAAACTGAGCTCAAACTATCTTTCCCCAACACGCAGTGTCAAAATGGCCCCATCCCATTGAGGTTGGGCTTGGCCATAGAATTTGCTCTGGCCAGGGGAGTATTAGCAGATGTGATGCATGCAGAAGCATAAACCATGTTTGTGTGATAAGGCTTGCCTTCTTGTGCTTTTGTCATCATCACGGAGAAGTTCTGGACAACTTCTGCAGTCTAGTCCAAGTCTGAAGAACAACAGAGAGGGAGCAGACCCAAGCCTGCCAGCCAACCTGCAAAAGCATGAGTGAGAATAAATTAAAGTTGAGATTTGGGGCAGCAATAGCAACTGAAACGTAAGTACACATTTTTCTCTTAGACTCATCCTAAGGGCAAATCTTGTTACCTCTTCCTTCACTGCTACATGTCCAGAATCTAGCACACTTTCTGGTAATTAGCAGATATGCAATAAACATCTGTTGTAGTCACATTTATGTTTCTTCTAACATTAGTGACTTAGGAAAATAAAACAGAAAGGAACTTACATAGTTTAGTTGTAAAGCATGTGGTCGAACTTCAAAAGTATCAATTTCAACAAGGACCAGAAAACATGTTAGAGGTTGTTAGGTGGTTAAGAGTGTGACTATGGAAATGACTGCCCAGATTTAAATCCAGGCTTTACAGTTACTGGTCAGGTCATCTTGGGCGAGTTACTTCACCTTTCTGCCTCATTCCTCATCTGTTAAATGGTACTATTAATAGTACCTATCTTCCCAGATAGTTGTGTGGATTAAGAGATGTCTTTCAATTACTTACAACCTCACCCAGTATGTGATAAACACTTAAGAGGCATTCTGAATTATTACCACCAGTGTAAGATGATTTTGAGTAAGGTTATTAAAGTCCTCTTTGCCTGCTCTTCCAGTCACCTATTTATATCTTTTTGTTCTCACTTTTGTTATCTCATCTCTGTACATGTGTATAATTAGCTCTTTTGTAGGTTGGCATGGTCTTTCTGTGCTCTGGAGTGTTAAATGCTGACACCTATTCCATCCTCTCTCTTCCACCAACCCATTTTACAAACTACTGATTTTGTTCTTTTCACTTAAGATGGTATTTGCCCCTTTCTCCACCTGCTCAAAGCATAGCTGACATTCCTCAGTGCCCAGCCTAAATGTCATCTCTTCCAGGAAGCCTGTTCTGATCTTTTCCAAAGTCATCTTTCTCTGACCTTCCTTAGCTGTTCATATCTACCTCAATTACAATTTTATACTTTCTATTTTCAGGTGTATGTCTTTCCATGATGAGACTGTAACTCCTAGAGGACACCACAATTTCTAGGCTCACTTTCTGCCCATTCCCACCCTCTAGTATATGGCAGGCAAGCAATAAATATTTGTTGAATGAATGTATTTGAGAAGCCCACATAGATTCATCTAAATTTTAAGTTTTTCATTGAGAAGCCGTCAAGTTTTTAAAGAAAGGTTAAAAACTCGTTGGAATACTAATTAGACATTAAAAGAGAAAGAAGTTTACATATAAAAAAGAAAGACACTTGATTTATCGCATTAAAAAACTTTATTTCATTTAAAAGGTCCAATATAAGCCAAATTAAACCCCAAATTGACAGCTATACTTAGAGCTCCTGAACTAAATGGCACTGTTTGAGTTGAGTGTCTTGTTAAAGGAGGTCATTTGCTATTACCACCATTTTCCCCCAAAGTAGTTCTAGAACAGAAGCTGGTATTATTATAATACACATCAGATATTTCAGATGTCATCTTTCATGCAGAAGTTAAAAAAGCAAACAGGCTTTTCTGTTCTGTTTGAGTATAAAAACCACTACAGAGCAGGGCCTGCATGCTTTTGACATACAAGGTGTAACTATAAAGGAACTTACTGTGCTGCTGTGTTCATTCACTGAAGTTGTCCATGTACGTACTCCAACAATACTAGGGCTGTTCAAATACTATTTGGACCAGTAGTTTGGGATTTCCCTTCATTAGGTGCAGACCAAAGGAAGTGGCTGATCAAGCTGGGGATAGACTATCACAAAATGCGAACACAAAGCAATGAAACAGACTTCCTAGTGGGCAAGCGATTGAAAGAACCACCTCACAAATATTTTCAGTAATAGCATCATTTACATAAAGTGATGCAAGATTTAAGTTCTGCCATGTGTGAGGATAAGTTAAAAACAGCTTGTTACTTTATAGCTACACCTTGGATTTCATTAGATGGGTAAATCTGCGTTTAATGAGTCCTTCTGGAAATCACTTCAGCAGGTAAGTCAAACAGCCTGTAAAAGAGAAGACATGGCAGAGGGCGTGAGATTCATCCTTCCAACGTTTTCGCGTTCTCTTGGAGGACAGAGACCCAGGCCCAAGGACAGAAGTTACCGGGAGGGAGGCTTCAACTCCATCTAAGGAAGACCTTTCTAACAGTTAGAGCTGCTCAACAACTGAATGGACTGCTTGGTGAGGTAGAGTCACTGGAAGTATTCAAGGTGGAAAGATCACCCTTGTAGAAGGGACTCCTGCATTTGTTAAGAGGTTAGACTGGATGAACCTCAGGTCTCTTTCAATTCTGAGATTCTAGAAAATTCCCTCAGGGAATTCAGAAGAGAATTCCTAAAAGGAAAGAGAAAGCACACATATGTATACTTTTAGAATCCTCGAGTTTTGTTTTTTTTTTTTTTCAAAAGGTACAATAGAAAATGTAGTCCACTGTCTTTAAAATGCAAATTCACCTTCCTACCACTAATAATTAGGAAGGGTCCATTATGACTTCTTTATATTATAAAGAAAAGATGGAGGATTACATTTATAATTTCTGTAAATATTTTAGAAAAAATGCTTAAAATCTAGTAGTCAATGCCCTAGAAACTTTATAGATTTTTAGGTAATATGCACAGATACAAATACATTATTCATTAAATACAACTCACATCTGTGTTTTATTATACTCTAAAATATACAGGAATCTTGATGTACTGAAAGAGTGCAAGTAAATACAGTATTCAAGCAGTCACTATTTCTATGTACATGCTCATTAATTCTTCAAAAACCCCACAAAATTATCAAATAGATCAAAATACTGTTCTGTGTTTTCACACTTTATATTAAGAAAAACCAGCTGAAATTTACAATGTCATAAAGTTTCCAGTTTCACAATACAAAAAGGATAAAATGCAATTGGGTATCATTTTGTGAAAATTTATGGAACTTTATCCAGATCTGTAAGACCCCTACATATGTGAAATCATTCTTACTGGGAAAGTGACAGTTACAGTAAAAGCAGAACCTTATAAATTGTCATTTAAAAGCCTAAACATCAGCCTTTCTCTATTATTTGAAAGGCAATTTTCCAATTCAGCAGGCAATTGCTTCTTTCCCCAAGTAGTAGCTTGTTTAAATCTGAATAGGACCCAATACAGAAATGCCTTCCAAGAGACCGATAATGTTAACTTATCAATAATAAGGGATTTTTTTTCCTTTTTGATTATTCACTAATCAATGAAAACAAAAATCCCCCAATCCATTGTGGAGGCACAAAAGTTAACATAATGTTAACATAACACATTAAGTTAACATAATAAAGTATGATGAAGGTGTACCATCCAAAGTAGCAAGGTCAAAAACTCCATTCCCCAGGATCACTTAAGCTGAAACAGGGTGAAAATAATCCATTTTTTGATTTCATGAAATTTTCTTTTTCTAGGAAATTCTTTACATTTTCAAACAAAAATAGTTCAATTTTAAACCTAAACCATTCAAAACTGGGCAATGATGGCCTGACCTCAATATATCTCATGTCTACATCACAAGTATTTTCACCCTGACTGCACTCAGTCAGCTGGTTTTTAATTCTAATATTATAAAAGTTGGAATTTTTAAATTTTTATGTAAAAGAAAAAATGTAAAAATACATCTGCTTTCTCTCATGGTTTAATACAGTATTTGAAGGCTTTCAGATGTTTTCTTTTAAAAAAAAAATCAACATTTAAAACCAAATCTCAGCTTCATTTTTCAGAAATATTAAAGTTTGGTTTAGATAATGTCTCATTTCACCTATTCTGGTTTCCACAAAATGGCATTCTATTAAAAACTTTTAAGTTACTTGGTCCTTTGGCAATCTGCTGTGCACATAATGCCTACTGTATCAAACTTTTATTGCCCTTAAATTTAGTTGTAGTTTTATTGGTAAAATTTAAATCTAGTGTTCTTATCTCTTCTTTTACAATAGTGTTGCTTGTGTAAGCAGATTAGGGTGCACAGTGTCCCAAATTATTCCTGGCACTGCAAAACCAAATTAAACAATTCCACAAAGTAACTTGATATCAAAGTGTTTTCCTCTGGTCAAGTCTATTTCAAGATTCTAGAAGTTCCTTTTGCAAAACTTGCCTTTAAAATTCTTCTTCCTAACGTCATCACATTTCTCTTATTTGCTCACTCTGCGACCTTCCCTCTTAGGTTGCATTTATAGGTGAATCAGAAAGTGCCTTTTTCCTGAAAAAGCACAATCAGAAGCGTTAGTGTCCGAACTCCTCACTCAGACCTCTGGCTCGGCCTCTTAGTAGGTCTCGGAATCAGAGTCATTGAGCTCGTCCACATCGGTGTATAAGTACTCCTGTTCCCCACCAATGTTGTTGAAACTACAATAGGAGCTAGGTTCATTCCTCATGATGGGCAATGCTTCAAAGCTGACTGTTTTTGAGGTGTTGGTGTAACGGTTAATGGCGCTGAAAGTCAGGGATGATAAAGGGCTACTTGACGAGACAGGCATCATGGTGGCCAAAATGAGAGCGAGGCAATCAGCCACATCCTTGTTGGGGGCACAGGCCAAAGCTGGGGTATAGCCTAGAATTAAAAATAAAATTTCAGTAATTAAACATCAGGAGATAAGAAAATAAGCCTAGGGGCGCCTGGGTGGCTCATTTGGTTAAGCCGCTGCCTTCGGCTCGGGTCATGATCTCAGGGTCCTGGGATCGAGCCCCGCATCAGGCTCTCTGCTCAGCAGGGAGCCTGCTTCCCTTCCTCTCTCTCTGCCTGCCTCTCTGCCTACTTGTGATCTCTCTCTCTGTCAAATAAATAAATAAATAAATAATCTTAAAAAAAAAAAAAAAAAAGAAAGAAAGAAAATAAGCCTAATGGCCTGTAGTTCTAGATAGTTTAAATTACTTGGCTTATAATAAATTGGTTTAATAGAATGATTCAGAAATTTCCAATCAGTAGAAAAGAGTAAAGTCCTAGAAATTTAGGGTGGGAGGAGGATATGTGTGTGTTTGTGTGTATGATGAAAAGGAAAAGGAAAGGAAAGAAAAGGAAACTGAGGCCCAGAGATGGATGATTTCTCCAAAATCTCAAAACTTATCCATAACCACCTAAATTCACAGAAGATATAGAACTAGAATTAGACAAACAAACAAACAAAAACCCTTAGACTGATCAAGCTTGCTTCAGAGTGGTGAAAGAATCTTAGTAATTTGTAGTTATAGTTAGTGCTTACATACGGAGAAATCTAAATGTGTACAGATTCATGAAGAAGCACTGAGCAGGTGCACAAAGATGTGTGTTCAATGAATGGAATGATACTTGGCTGTTGATCAACTTTTCTCTTAGGGACACAGAACACTGAAGAAAAACAGGAGATAAACAGGTAAACTTTAAAAACTCCTAAGTCAAAACCAATGTTTCAACTCTTCCTTTCTTTTAGAAGATGGACTTTAACCTTAAGGCAATACAAAGTATCAACAAACTGAGTAAATTAATATTTGGTACCTTGGCTGGTACAAGATCCTGTCTTGAAAATGAAGTGAGAGAGAAGATGGTGAGAGCACACCAAATGATGCCAAGTTTACATTACCCCACATGGAACTCTAGCAGCAAATGTCTTCAAGTTTATTTGTTTATTTATTTATTTAAGATTTTATTTATTTATTTGACACAGAGAGAGATCACAAGCAGGCAGAGCAGCAGAGGGAGGAGGAGAAGCAGGCTCCCTGCTGAGCAGAGAGCCCCATGCAGGGCTCGATCCCAGGACCCTGAGATCATGACCTAAGCCAAAGGCAGAGGCTTAACCCACTGAGCCACCCACGCAACCCAAAAGTCTTAAAGTTTTAATTTATAGCTTCATTTTCTGTTATACATCTAGACAGTTTTCCCTATTAATATATATACAAATGCTTTAGCTTTCATACTCATATATGTACAGTTGACCCTTGAACAATGTGGGGGCAAAGGGAAAGGCTAGGGGCATGAACCCATGCATAGTCGAAAATCTGCATAACTTTTGACTCCCCAAAACTTAACTACTAACAGCCTACAGTCAACTGGAAGCCTTACCAATAACATAAAACAGTTAACTGACATTTATTTTATATGTTATATGTATTCTTATAATAAAGTAAGCTAGAGAAAAGAAAGTCATAAGAAAGAGGAAAATACATTTATAGTACTGTAAAAAATCCATGTTATTAAATGACCCATGTAGTTCAAACCTGTGTTGTTCAAGGGTCAATTGTATATATTTTACAATTTTTATTTATATATTTTATTATTTATACACTTTATATAAAATATTAAATATATTTATATATTTCATAATTTTTTTAAATAGCTAAATGTTTTATCAAAAAATAAACAGGGGCACCTGGGTGGCTCAGTGGGTTAAGCCTCTGCCTTCAGCTCAGGTCATGATCTCAGGGTCCTGGGATCTAGCCCCTCATCGGGCTCTCTGCTCAGCAGGGAGTCTGCTTCTGCCTCTCTCTCTCTGCCTGCCTCTCTGCCTACTTGTGATCTCTATCAAATAAATAAAATCTTAAACAAACAAACAAACAAACAAACAAACATTAATGTAGCCACTATCCAGATTAAGAAAGAGAATATTACCAGCAAACCAGGAGCTCCACATGTCCCTTCACTATCCCTTTTCTCTTCCATAAAGGTAATTACTATCCTGAATTATGTGGTAATCATGGCTGTGCTTTTCGTTTTAGTTATATTCATAAATGCTATAGTTTAGTTCTGACTTTTTCTGAACTGAATATAAACGGAATCATATAGTATATATTATTTTATATCTGACTTCTTTCACTTAACATCATGTCTGTGAGATTTATCCATGTTATTGTATATAACTATAGTCAATTCATTTTCATTGTTTATACATTCCATTATTGTGATTATACCACGGTTTAGTTACCCATTCTAGCTACTGGACATTTGGCTGTTTCCTGTTCTATATATTTTTATCCATGCTGTATTAGCCTTGAGAAGGAAGAAATATTTTTTTCCCTTCAAAACTCTCCCCCTTTTTAAGGGTCAAAGGGAACAACTGATGCTCCTGCAAACTTGGCAGGAGTGACTGAAGGGTGTGCATTTTTTTTTTTTTTTTGTATTTTAAACATTTTATTTATTTGACAGACAGATCACAAGTAGGCAGAGAGGCAGGCAGAGAGAGGGGGGAAGCAGGATCCCTGCCGAGCAGAGAGGCCGATGTGGGGCTCGATCCCAGGATCCTGGGATCATGACCCGAGCTGAAGGCAGAGGCCCAACCCACTGAGTCACCCAGGCACCCCAGGTGTGCATTTTAAAATTAAACCCTGTTTACTCAAAATGAAAGAGTTCTTTCAAGAGTTCTTCTGTAAGTCTGAGGGTGCCTGCTGGACTGCAGAACAGGCAGGGAGAACAACCCTTTAGACAGGCCACGATGCCTTGGATCAGAGTTAAGGGTGGAGAGGGAGAAGAGTATCTCAGAAGTGTTCTACAGTTGGAATATGACAAAAAGCAGGCTCCTCTCCTCTGCATGGAGTTGACAGGGTCAGCTAAAGAGAAAAGTAAGAGAAGCAAACTGCCTTAGGATGAGGGTCTAATCTATCCCATGCAAGTATAAAATATTTTGCTTCCTCCAGAAAATCCATGGAAATATATTGCTATGACTTGTCAACTCTGGGTCCTGATTACTATTTCACATTGCAAAGTGTGTTAGAAGATACCCAAGTGGTCACAGATGACCTTCATTGTCATGTTATATTATCCCTTTTGTTTATTTATAAGGAAAAAAATATAAAAAATATTAAAAATGATCAACAAAGATCTGAATACTAGCTAATGATTCAGAGTCTCATTATGTGGCCAAACATATAAAGTTAGCATTTTAGGCTGCTCATTTTACTCTCTATATAGAGAGTATTTCCAGAGTAGCTGTATTTCCAGAAATCGATTTACTGAAAATGAAAATTTCTTTTAAAGCTCTGTAGTCTGAACTTACAGGTGGTATCATTCACTTCTTTGGATCTCATGACTATACATACTTATGATTCCCAAATCTTTATGTGCAACCTAGATTTTGCTTTTGGTCTCTAGATCCGTATGTCCCATTATCCACTTGGGAGCTTCCACTGAAATTTTCTCATGCCCCCGTATGAATTTAGCTCTTACTCCTACTTTCCAGTCTTAAACAATGGCACTCCCATCCACACAGCACTCCAAGCCAGGAGGTATGAGACTTCTTCTCTCACAAAGTACCAATGATTCCCTCCATAAGATCTCTAGAAACATTTATATCTTTTCATCTCCAGTGCCTCTACCTTAATTCTGGTTACCAACCTCTCTCACCTGTAAATGTTAATTTGTTTTCCCATTCTAATCTTGCTCTCTCCTTCAGACTAACTGCTAATTTCCCAGTGCACAGATCCTTTGCCACTTTATCTAAGAGGCTCTGGCACAACTCCAATATTTACTGTGTCCTGTGCTCTATCTCTAAATATGTCACACTCTCTGCTTAGAAAGCTCTCTCCCCACTTTCCTACTTGTCCTTTGGATTTCGGCTTACAGGGCCTTTTTTTTTTTTTTTTTTTTTTTGGGATGCCTTCCCTGATCCTGTAAGAAAGACTTCGAACACTCTCTTACCTATTCTCACAGCATTTTAAGTTTACTCCAAATGAACCACTTTCAGTGCATTGTAACGGCCTGTTTATACTCTCTATTTAAAGAAGTAGCCAGTCTTACTCTATACATCCTATCTTCAGAACTGAGCACAGTGCCTGGCACGATCACTCACCCAGTAAATAATCACTCATCATGTCCAGGAACTCTCCTAAGCACTTAGAATATAACAGTAATGGTACTGATACAGACTCCCTAGCACTGTGGAGCTTCTATTCATTCTAGTGGGGGAGACACACAATTGACATAATAAAAAAATTAAATTATATAAAAATAGATATATAAATTATATATAATACAATATAATGTATATGTATATATTATATATAATATATACATATATTATATATAATTATATATAATTTATAAAATTATATATAAATAGATATATAAATATATCTATTTGAAGATAAGTTTTATGGAAAAAAAGAAAGCAGAAAGAAAGAGCAGGATGACAAGAACTGAGAATGCTGTGGCAGAGGTCTATAACAGGTGTAGTATAAATTGGTTCACCACAGGCTTCACTAAGAAGATAAAACTTGAGTAAAGATTTGAAACAGTTAAGGAATTTACTCAAAGACTTGCTTGAGGCCAGACTGTTCCAGGCAGGGAAAGTAGTCAGGATAAAGATCACAATGCACATAGATCCCTGCTGTGTAGGGGCTGGCATGACAGAATGGAGAGAAGAAAGAGTAGGAGATGAGGTTAGAGAGGAAATAGGGCAGTGGACTAATCACGAAGGGCCTTGAAGATCACTGTGAGTCAAGTGAGATTCAAATGAGTAGTATCTTGTCACATATTTTGAAAGGATCCAGGCCAGGGTGGTAAGCATAGAAAAGGTGGAACTACTGGAGGAAGATCAGTAGTATATGAAGGATTGTACACTGGGTATGAGAAAGAGGAGTCAAGAACCCCAGGTTTTCATCCTGAACAATTACGAGGATGGGAACTGTCATCAACTGAGATCAGGAAGCTGTGGGGAGAACAGGGTTGGCAGGGAAAGGAGAAGAGTCAATTCAATTCTGGACGAGTTAGGTTTGAGCTGTTTATTAGATACCCACATAGTACTGTCAATTACGCAGCTGGATCTGCAAATGGATCACATCTCTATAGAGACTGAGAGGTCTGGGCTGGAGATATAAATCCAGAAATTCTCAGCACGTACGTTGAATCAAAGAACCAAAGGACTGAATATAGATAGGGAAAGCAAAAAACCAAGGACCAAGTCCCAGAGCCCTCCAATATTAAGAAGTTAGGGAGAAACTTCACAAAAGAAACTGAGAAGGAATAACTAGTAACACCGGGTGAAAAACAAAGAAGTGTTAAGTCCTAAAAGCCAAGTAAACAAAGTTTAATGAAGAAAAAAGTATATACCTGAAACTCTAATGTTGCATGTTAATTATGCCTCAATTAAAAAATTATAAAATAAAAAAACAAATTTCAGTCCCAGGGAATCTGGCTACTTAATCCAACCATCAAAACAGCAAAGTTACAAACCCTCACCCAGTTATCAATGGAAAGAACCAGGTATTTATGAATGAAGGCAGACTGGGTTCACCTACAGGAGGATATTGTAATCAAACCAAATGACTCTCCCTCTTACCCCAACCTAAAGTGATCTGTACCTATTTATCCATTTAACAGTGTGCAGCATAAAGGAAAATATGGAGATTATTTGGGGGAAATATTGAACACCTGCTATGGCAGACTGCAACCTTCACATCCCTAGGTACTCCCTTATTCCTGTATATTTTAAATTCTATATTAAAACCCTTATTCCTGTAAAAAAAAAAAAAAAGAAATAATCAATTGTGCCAAATTCTGCTAAGTCAGGTACAATGAAAACTTAAGAAATGATTCAATATTGTGGAGATCATTGGTGATCTTGAGGACAGTGTACCAGTGTGGTGGGGGCAAAGAAGTAGTGGTAGCAAAGATCTGACTCGGTGAGGGGTCTCAGAAGAGAATAAAAGAGGGGAAGGCGGCAGCACAGCCGCCTCAAGTCAACACTTGAGTAACTGTGCTGCAAAGGGGTACAGTTTTGCAGTACTTGTGGAATAGATTGATTAATGGGAGGTTTTTTTTTTCTTTAAGATTTTATTTAAGAGAGAGAGAACACATAAACCAAAGGGAGGGGCAGAGGGAGAAGCAGACTCCCCGATGAACAGGAAACTTGATCCCAGGACCCCAAGATCATGACCTGAGCCGACGGCCCCCGACTGAGCCATCCAGGTGCCCCTTATATAGAAGATTTTTTAAGATGAGGGAAATAATGTTTATATACACATGGGAATAATCTAGGAAGGGTCCTACAAAAAGTCCTTATTGCTCATTCCTCGTTAGTATAGTGGTGAGTATCCCTACCTGTCAAAAAGTCCTTATTACAGGACACAGTGAAGAATTGCTAAAGTGACAGTCTCAAGTAGGCTTAAGGGGATGGGGATAGGATCTAGTGAATATTAGGAACATTAACTTGATTTATTTTTTTTTAAACAAAGTGTTACTTTTTTTTTTTTTTAAGATTTTATTTATTTATTTGTCACAGAGAGAAAGATAACACAAGTAGGGGGAGTATCAGGCAGAGGGAGAAGCAGGCTCCCCGCTGAGCAAGGAGCCTGATGCAGGACTCAATCCCAGGACCTTGGGATCATGACCTGAACCCAAGGTAGATGCTTAACCAACTGAGCCACCCAGGCATCCTTGAAGATTAACTTTAGATAAGAACCTGGCTCTTAAGGGCCTTGATAAGTATTTGCTGACCAAACAAATTCTCTGAATACTAAGATGAATGAAGGTGGTAACATTAAACCAGGTAGTAAAATTCAGAAGTTTATCTCTTATACAGACTCTTCTTATTTTTCTTGCCCTTATTCCCTTTGCCACATGGTACTATTCAATATTAATTTCAGCTCTCCTCTTTAACCAACACAAAATATCCACATTTATTTCACTTCAAATATGAATAGGAAAATAAAACCTTCAGTAAAATATAGGTTAAGGAAAAATACAGAACTACTTACCATTTTCATCTACTGCAAGCACACTTGCTCCTTTCCCCAAAAGTTCCTGAACCACCATTGTCAACCCATTTCGGGCAGCAACATGCAGAGGTCTGGGGGGAAAAAACAATACATGTGTACACACACACAGGTACATGGCCCTGAGTACGTACACACACACACACACACACACACGCACTTTCTTTTGCAATTCTGGTTGTTGAAGGGCATTTTTGCTAAGTTGTGATGACCCAGAAATATAAAATTGAGGAACCCAATCCTAACAGCAATACAGATGGGAATCGGGGACAACAAAATCAAAGTGCAGAGTGTGCTGCCAAACCCTCCAACGTGCATAAGCATAGCACTGTCCCCTGCCCCCAGAGCCATCTATCTTTACCAATACCTTTTGTTTGTTTCCTTCTAAGACTCAATGGTTAAGAAGGTTTTACTAAATAAACTGCATTCTTAAGTTGTTTTAAAAAAATGATGTTGGCAAATACATATAATAGAATATACAATAAAACCCACTAATTGAAATAGTACAAATTTCAATTTCAATTTTTTCAAAAAATTACAGGTTCTGTGGCTAGTTTTTGGATCCTCAAGAGATCTGACATGTGAATGGGAACCAGTATTATAATTTATTTATTTTTAAACCAAGGCTCAACGTAAAATAGCAAATGGAAATTGCAAGAGAAAAATGGGAGACTCTGATCTAAGATCTAAGGGGTCACTTGAAAGACAACTGCTCACATTAAGAACTTGATTCTTTCTGAAATCTCTCTAGTTTACAGATACATGTCAAGCTTTTTACCTCATTTATTGCTGGGGTCAAATAACATTATTCTAGTTGACTTTCATAAAACAGGTTTACACCAGACTGAAAATACTCACGTTTGCAAGGCTGCATTGGTTGCATTGATGAGGTTTCTATCTGTTATCTTTTCCAGTATTAACAAGGCACTAGTTTCATGACCCTAAAATTATGGCAAATAACTCTTAAAAACTTAGTTATCATTAAAGATAAATATACAAAATCAATAAACCTCAACTCTTGTCTATACGATATGTACATCACCATATACATGCCATAGATTTTTTTGGCTAACAATGCCTTGAATATATGTCTGAATGTGTTGGTGGAATAGGGCTGGGGAGAGGACAGGAATATTTAAGACTGGAGAGATTACGTTTAGACTTACACTCCGAAACTTACTTGGCCCACTGGAGACTTTGATATATCATGGTGCCTAACAGGAGAGTAATTTTTCCCCCCCCTCAAGAAATCTGATGCCAGTGATCAGTACAGAGGTTTCAATCTCTAGCTCTGTTCACTTCAGTGCAGTAGGAAAGCTTCACTAAGTTTGGGGAAAATGCCACTGTTAACATAAACAATGAAAACATACCCTTAAAATGTGTACCTACCTTGCTGCAAGCCAAATGGAGGGCGGTGTTTTTACTGTTATCTTGTAAAGTCAGATCTGCACTAGCACTGCTAACCAGCATCTCTGGCAGGAAAAATTACATCAAGTCTTATATTTATGAACACATATCTTAGATTACTAATAAACTCACTGTAGAGAAATAAAGATACAAAACAAAACAACAATATCCCTCTAGTGAAAGTTTAAGAAAAATACTGTAACCTAAAATATACACACTGTATCATCAGGTTATCCTGCAAGTCACAGACACAATGGCAACATTTATGCTGTGAGAGCTTACTAAATTTCAAATAATGCCTTAAACACTCTGGATTTATACTCTCACAATAACCCTACAAAGGAGGCACTGTTACTTTCCTAAACTTCAAAAATGAAAAAATTGAGTCATAAGATCACTTAATTGGTAGAACTAGGACTCATATGCTGTCCATCTAACTCCATAGCCAGGGTCTTTACCATTATCCTACACTGCCTTGCTATAGTAAGACTGTTTAATCAGCAAGGGCAAATGAAAACATTTTGGCCCTAGATAAAAATGTGGTTTGAAAGCATGCTAAAGGTTTTAAATCTCAGGAGATAACTGTGGCAAATTTGACAGAGTCAGAAGGCTTGGGACCTAAGTTTTCCATAAGTTAAATACACATAAGCAATACAGTATTATAGCATTAGAATAATACAAGCCTTAACCAGTGTCTTTACCAACTGTATTTGTCTGTCCATTTTCTGCAGCCATCATGAGAGGTGTTTTCCCAGAAGAGTCTATAGAATTAACTTGAGCATTATGGCTGAGAAGCAGCTGTAAACACTCTACATGGTCTGTGAAGGCGGCTGCATGGAGAGGGGTTCTGTAATACAAAGAAAAAGGAAGATTTCACTAAATCTGTTTGTCTCATAGTCTAGAAAAAATTATTCCTGAATTTATGACAAGTAATTTCCAAGGGTTTACATATTAGGCTATAAAATCATTGCCTCGATACAAATAGGCTTAATGGAGCTTAATAATTTCTGCCAGAGTAACTGGTATTTGGTAATATAAAAGGCCCTTAATTAAACTAGTACAACATAAAATTGCTAAACAAAATTACATCACTAAGGAAATTTTAGAAGAAATAAATCCTGACCCAATATTGCCACCTGTTACAACTGGTGGACTCTTCTTCAGCCTTTATTTATATTTAGAAAACTGTTAAATTTATTAATAATCATCTTCGGTAACAAACATACCTTTAAGAAAATGAGAGGGAATCTTACATTTTACAAGTTTTAAAGAGGAGGACTGGCTAAAAATCGTAATAAAAAAGCTTTTTATAATGAGAATTATATATATTGCATATAAATATTAATTACATTTATAATTATGTAATTTATAATACATTATAAACATTAAGATTTTATGACAATTTATACTTCCAAATATAAAAATCAACTTTTACTTAATAATGGGTTCTCTGTTAATTCTTCCACACTAATCTAGTAGTTAAATTTTTTTCCTATTGCAAGTCAAGCTATTTCCTATGTAGTTGAATTCCTACCTTCCTTTTGAATCTGTGGCATTCACGATGCTGGCACCTAAAGTATCAATTAACATTTCAGCAGCACCTTCGTTGTCATTTATCCTGTGTAAGGTAACAAAGTGATCACTCTCACAGCAATGGTGTATTTCTTATATAGTCAAAGCAAATCTGATTCACCTGCCTTTACTTACACAGCACAATGCAAAGGACTGAAAGCATTTCCTTCCATTTTCTGGAAAACTTCCTGTTCTAAAAGAAGTTCTACACATGTCTCATGACCTAAATAAGTAAATGAGAATCAGATATTAAAATCCAAAAAAGAAAATTGCCCAAATATACCCACATATCCCTAACACAAATAAGAAAAAACTTCACGTGGATTAAAAATAACTGAGCTCACTGAATGCATTAAACATCACATCTCTAGGAGTTTTAAAATCCAAATTACGACCTCAAGACCTGAAATTCAGAAGCTTCTTGTAATTTTATAGCAGTTTATTACTGACACAACAAATATTCGTTTTGTGGGGAAAAAATTTACTCTATTCTTTTTATGATGACCAGTTAAAGATAATGCCATTTTTTTTTAAAGATTTTATTTATTTACTTGACACAGTGATCACAAGTAGGCAGAGAGGCAGGCAGAGAGAGGAGGAAGCAGGCTCCCTGCTGAGCAGAGAGCCTGATGCAGGGCTAGATCCCAGGACTCTGGGATCATGACCTGAGCTGAAGGCAGAGGCTATAACCCACTGAGCCACCCAGGCACCCCTATTTAGTCATTTTTTAAAAAAGTCCTATATAGCCTAATATAACTTTAAAATTAATATATATTTATATAGCATAATTAACTTCAAAATATAAGTATTTTGATTTTAGTAATGAGCTAATGATAAAATCTCAAATACTACAGTAGTGTCTGAGGGAAAAAGTACAAGTCTCTGTCCCCACCGCCATCTCCAGTTCCACTTTCTAGATTGTAACCACTATTACCTAAACTGTTTCAAGAAATTTCTAGGCATATATAAATGCATGCACATAAACATGTACTACTTCCTTTTAAAATTTTTATGAAAAATTTTAATTCTGCAACTTGCTTTTCACTTAATATAAATAGTACATATCCCTCTATAATAACATATATAGAAATCTTATTTTTGAATCATTGGAAAAAATTCACGGCATTAAAGTATATCATAAATTATTTTAATTTCTAATTATGGATTTTGAGGTGACGGCTAGTTTGCATCTGCTATATAACCAAATATGCTGTAATGAAATCTTCCAGTACTTTATTTTAAAAATTTTTTTAGATTTTACTTATTTATTTCTTCGAGTGTACCCAAGTGGTAGGGGGAGCCCGAGGGAGAGGCAGACTCCCCTCCCCACTCTGAGCCTGCTGGGATCATGACCTGAAGGTAGGCACTTAACCCACTGAGCCACCCAGGCTCCTTCCAGTATTTTTTTTTTTTTTTTTTAAGTATTTTTGTAGGATAATTTCCTAGAAATGGTATTGCTGGGTTGAAGGACAAGTATAGATTACTGATAGATAGGCTCACAGTTTTTATTTATTTATTTTTAAAGACTTTATTAATCTTTAAATTAATAAAGGGGGGGAAGGAGAGCACTCCTGCACGTGCGAATAACTCAGGGGGAGGAGCAGAGGGAGAGGGGAAGAAAGAATCTCAAGCAAACTCTGGACTGAGTGTGGAGCTGGATACGGGGCTGATCCCACAGCCTTGACACCATGACCTGAGTCGAAATCAAGAGTCACTCAACCAACTGAACCAGTCAGATTCCCAGGCCCACAGTTTTTGAAGACAGGGAAAAACCTAAACCTCAGATTTTCTTTACTTAATTTTTAAAGCAAGGATTTTAGTTAAAATCCAATTGCTATAATAATTGTTGCAAATGAAATGTTGCATCATTTATTTCATTAGTAATTTGGAACCTGTTTTAGGAATAAATTAGATTCTTATACAGGCTATTTGTTTATGTCTATCACTCAGTATTTGTCTAACAAAGTGATGCTAGATTTATTTTTTTTAGTTACTCTATCATTCTCAAATAATAGCTCAACTTAATTTTTATCCTATAATTTTTTTTACCAGGAAAAAAGTAAGTTTTAGGAAACCTGTAACTGTTTCATCTTATGTTAGTTATTTTCTCTAATCCAATGGTTCCCAACTGGAGCAATTTTGCCTTTCAGGAGACATTCAGCCATGTCTGGAGGAATGTTTGCTCATCACAACTGGGCATGGGGTAAGAGGGTGCTACTTTCATTTACCAGGTAGAGGTTAGCGAGGTTGCTAAACACCTTCCATCCACCGGCAGTCCCTCACAACAAAGAATTTTTGCCAAAATGGCAATAGTGCTGAGTCTGAGAAGATTTGCTTTAACTCTTTCTCCAAATATCAACTCATTACAAAGAAGTAACCATGGAAAGTTGTCCAGTACAGATTTAAGAGTTTCCTATCACCCTAGAATAGCAGTTCTCAAGGTGTGAGTCTGGGGAAACACGGGGTATGGTTGCAAACTATCCTTTTCTTAAATTAGCCAGTAAAGAAATTTGCCAACCTTCTCACTAAAATTGTTTTTTGTTTTGAAAAGAAGTTATTATTTATAAAAATATTATTTATATTAATAATTAATGAATTTATTATTTTATTGTTTTAAAATTTTAAAAAAAGATTTTATTTTATTTGACAGAGATCACAAAGCAGGCAGCGAGGCAGGCAGAGAGAGAGGAAGGGAAGCAAGCTCCCTGCTGAGCAGAGAGCCCGATGTGGGGCTCGATCCCAGGATCCTGGGATCATGAACTGAGCCAAAGGGAGTGGCTTAACCCACTGAGCCACCCAGGTGCCCCTGAATTTATTATTTTAAAGTAAATTAATAAATGTCCTTAAGTTTTTCAGTTCTCATTTCCAATATAGTAAGTATTGATAGCTCTAACTCCCAGATCATGAGACTGAAAGGTCTGAGAATTACTGAGTAGACTGTATACTGCAAAAAGAGAGTTCTGGGCTACTGATTACCTCCAGCAATCATATCAAGCTGAAAACTTTGTGTCCTCGTTTATGAAAGGATGATACAACTGGTCTCTTCATGTTTCAGAGGGATATTCCAAGGACACTTAGAGCTTCAAAAACATTTATCAATTTTTAAAAGAAACAAAGGGATAATACAAGTACTCTTAAGTTCTGTGATTGAATGACTATATAAACTGAAAATCTGGACTTTAAATGTAGTATGTATAACCAATTCTTTTCTAAAACTTTGTCATCATTTCATTTTGAGACAAAGGTTGTTTTCTGGTTTGTTAGAGTGCTTCCAATTTTGTTTTTAGCCATGGAATAATTACTAGTGGAAGTAAAACCATTTTACATATTCTACTCTCAGAATGCCAAATTATGAAACAGACTTTTGACTATAAATATGGTATTAATTTTAGACTGCTTGTATAGCCAACACACATCTAATTCCTTTCAGCTCAATTCAGAATGCACAAATTTGCTACAGTCTGAAAATTAAGACACATCTGCTATGATCTTTAAATGGCAACCAAGCATGTAGTTCATGAAAATTTTGTCTGTTTTGTCTCTTGTACACAAGGTGCTTAGAGAATCTAAATTTAGCAGTAACAGAGTAGGAATTCACTTTAGGGAAACAGTGCTCTCCATAAAGACCTGAAAAGAAATGTCATAATAGTAACTCTCCGAAGGGCAGTTACAAGAGCAGTTTATTTACAACTAAATGCCCTGCCAGAGTAAAGACAGCTTATTTTGTGATTTTTCCAATGGTTAATTCTCACTGATATATTAAAAAAGAAAAAAAGAACCAAGCAATAAAAATCTGCTTCAAAACAGTTTCATTTCTTGGGATGCCTGGGTGCCTTAGTCAGCTAAGCATCCAACTCTTGATTTCAGCTCAGGTCATGATCTCAGGGTTGTGAGACTGAGCCCCACAAAGGCTCTGCGATGGGCATAGAGCCAACTCAAGATTCTCTCTCCCTCTGCTACTCTCCAGCCCTCTCTAAAAACCAAAACAAAAAACCAAAACAAAAAACCAAAACAAAAAAAACCTAGTTTCATTTCTTAAATAAAACTCACATCTGTAGTATGGTAAAACTCACATCTGTATTGTTTCCTTACAATATTCGATGGTTTTGGTTTTCCTCATACTTGCAAAATGTCATTATACTACAAAAACAAATCAAATTCCAATGGCAAAATATAGTTATCTTTTTAAATTCAGGACTAGTCTTTGGCCATTTCACTATATTCATTAAATACCAATTTTACTGAGTATAAAAGAAAAAAGAGAAGTTGAAACCCAAAGGTTTTAATCTTCAAAACTGTTCTGGCTTAGGATCTAAGGTAGTAAAAATGAAACAGACTAAACTGAGCTTGTGAATTAGCAATACATTTAACTATTCAAGTTTTGATGGTACCAACAAAATGGTACCAGAGATGGTACTCAGAGATGATGGATGCCCAATAGTCATCACAGAACAATACTCAAGAAGAGACAAAAACTTTCTCACAGCAAAAGATTAGAACTCTCAATTCTGGCACAAGGATTAATATGAAAATTCAAATACTGCATTTTAGAAAATACTTATAAAATATTTAATTAACTATAATTTTGCAAGATTCAGGTTTCTCCCCTTTCACTGTGACTCAACATTATCTGTCAAGATTTCTCTAGTAAAAGAACCACGAAGGAGCACATTACAAAAAGGGAGAAACCTCAACTCTCTGGTAAGGCAGTCAGCTGGATTTTAAAACAGATACTATACTTATTTTTTAAGTAAGTCAATATTTATATCAAGAGGTAATTCATATTTTCTTACTATTTTGAGGGAAAGTTATTAGAATTGTGAACTACTTTTTCAGGTATGCTCTCAAAACTAAGAGTAATCTAAACGCTACAATGAAATTCAAAACAAATTAAAAATTCCCTCATATATAGAGTTGATGTTTACAATGTACATAATGTACCCTAGCATTTTCTAACATGATCAAATCTGTGGCCCTATGCAAGGAAAAAAAATCATTATCTCTCAACATGCCTCCTCACTTAAATTACCTTAATTAGTGACATTTCATAAGCCAAACTTCACTCTGAACATTTAAACCTTAAACAGCTTTATACTTCTCTGAGTGACTGTCAGTGAGCCCACCTATAAAAGGACTGACTGGCTGTGAGCTTCTAGGAAGCCAAAGGTCAGTATGTTCTGATCGTGTAGCAAAGTTAACTTAACCATAAAAGCTTCTAAGTTTCTAGGTCTGTGATCTGCTAAGATTTTATTCCCTTAAAATGTGGAGCATACATGTTACTGTTGCTATAAGGATCTATATTGCAATGTACTCAGAAAACATATACAGATTTCAGTTTAGAATGTGATACATTCTTATTTTTTGCTACCTTTCCCCCCCAATACAAGTACACTTAGAAAGTAAAAGAACAAAATCAAATTATGAGCGTATTATATATATAAAGGACATTGTAAATATTAATAGAAGTATATTAAAAATGCAAAAATACCTGTTGAAGCAAAGATCTAAGAAAAATTTCAAACTTAATGATGAGTTTATATCAAAAGATCTTTGGCTTTACCATGACAAGTGACAGGAGTAAGCTTACAACTACATAGGTATAGTATTTCTATGTTCCTACTGATCTCACAGTTGCCTAATAAATATTCACGATTATCATAGTGTGTTATAGTTTGTTGTCTCTGTTTGGTACATTAACAGGCATTTAATGTAGATTTATAACTATATACTCAACCGTTGTAGCAGGCCCAGTGAAGTGCTGTATATCCATGATTGTCTGCTATGGCTGGGTTTGCATCTACAGATGCTGCTGACTGCAAAAGGGCTCCAAGAACACCAATGTGTCCACAGGCAGCTGACAAGTGTATAGGTGTCCGGCCCCTGCTATCGCGAAATAAGCACTTAGCACCATGTTGAAGTAATGCATCTACACATTCTTCATGGCCTGTAACTGCCTGAAAGAAAAAGTATTTGTAGGTATTTGAATATATTATCTTGGGTACTATGTGCCAATTTAAAAAAATTTTTAAAGTCTGTATTCCCCATATTTGTCCATCAATCAAAGCATTTATCATTTTTTTAGTAATTAAGTGTTTTTATTGGAAAAGGCTTAAAAATTCATGTAAAGCAGTAACTTTATCAAAACACAAGTATTATGAAAAACAGGAATAAAGGAACTTATAAATCAGTAAAAACAATGAAGGCAAAAGAGGTGAATGGTTGCAAAGGGGAAAAGACAAAAATGTGTAAGAAAATAGTTGTAATAATGAGAAAAAGTAAAATGGACATTAAGTCTACTCAAGGTTTTGGGGTTTTAAAATTTTCTTCCAACACTGTTTCCTAAATTAAGTTGTGTTTTGTAGCTGTGTAAAATTAGTGATCCAAAACTATTTAGTAAAAATCTGATGAAGAAAAATAAACACAGCCTAGTTTAGTTTTAGGGAAAATGAGATCCTAAGAAATTTTTGATTAAAGGCAATGGGAACATTTTTGCTTACCCCTCTATGCAATGCTGTCCTTCCCCATTTATCTTTGGCATCTACATTTGCTCCTTTGTTCAGCAGTGAGTAAACACAGTCCGTGTGCCCATTGAGAACAGACAGCATCAGAGGAGTCCTGGGCAACAACAGGAATAGGTTCAGTGTTAAGCACATAAGACTCCACTCCATGAAGAACAATTAAACAGTGTGTTGGCCTGTTTTCTAAACATGCCTTTTTGTGATGCAAATTTAAAGTATACTTAGATGAGAAAACTATACTTGATGCTATTCAGTTAACATATTATGATAGATTTACTAAAACAGGGGCAAAAGCATGAAGATCAACACACATCTTATTATTTTTTTAAAATTTTATTTATTTATTTGACAGGCAGAGATTACAAGCAGGCGGGGCGGTGGTGGGGGGGGTGACGGGGAAGCAGGCTCTCTGCTGAGCAGAGAGTCTGATGCAGGGCTCAATCCCAGGACTCTGAGACCATGAGTTGAGCTAAAGGCAGAGGCTTTAACCCACTGAGCCACCCAGGCGCCCCTCAACACACATCTTAAAAATAATTTAAAAATCATTAGAACTTACTGTCCATTTCCATCTTGAATGTCTACTGCATTCTGTGGTTCTGCATTTCCTATTAGTAGCCGCAAGCACTCTGAATGACCATTTGTTGCTGTAGAGTGATATTTTAAAATTTCAGTAATTACAATAGTAAAACAGAATTTCCATTTTAGGGCATATTTTCTAGATGTACCTGTGAGATCCTATCACTGAATTTACTAGTCAAAGAAAAAAAAGTATAGATACAAAGGAGGTTTCTATTGCCTTTGTTGGTGAAACTGAATAGATTTAAATCCCTCATGGTAAAATACGGCCAATAGCCATCCCTCACCATCTGCCCTGCCAACAAAATGCTCATTTTATTTGGTGCTTTGATGGTAGCAACTGTGATCAAGCGGAGGCACCCTGCCTTTAGCCAAGGGATGAAATTGTGATTAGATCAAGTTCATCACAACTACATTCTTTCCAATGACTGGTTTCAAGATGAGTCTTGGTCTAGTCTGACCACTGAGATGCTAAAAAGTCTGAGGGCTTCTGGGAAATATTTTTATCTCTGATAATGACAAGTTCTTCTTTTCCTGATTTTTGATGTGAATCCTGTAAAGAAGCAGTAGCTATTCTGTGCCATGACTGCAAAGGCAAGAGAATAGAGAGCTCTGACACCACTGCTGAATCAATCAATCCCGGAGCTGACTCTACCTCTGAACATTTTGTGAGAGGATAAACACTTGTCACTTAAGCCACCTTTTAGTTGGGTACTATGAAAGTATTCCAATGGATACATAAATAATCAAAGAAGAAACCATCTATTTAAAGACTGTATTTATATGTCTAAACATAAAATGGGCAATGGTATAAAACAGAAGTAGCCTAGAGAAAACAGCTATCTTTTTTTGGGGGGGGGTATTTATTTATTTGAGAGAAGAGAGACAAACAGAGATAGTGAGAGATAGCACGAGTGGAGAGAGGGAGAAGCAGGCTCCCCACTGAGCAGGGAGCCCAATGCAAGGCTCAATCCTAGGACCCTGGGATCATGCCTGGAGCTGAAGACAGATGTTTAACCAACTGAGCCATCCAGGCACTCCAAAACAGTAAGCTTTTAAGGTAAGCAAAATTCAGGTCTTTCCCATAATACAGTAAAATTTGAAGTTTAAATATATAAGTCACATAATGATGCAAAAAGGAATATCTATCACTGTTCTTCCTAATTAAAAGACAAATTAATGAAAGAAAGCTAGGTGCCTTAATATTCTACAGTACCTTCTAATAGCTATATTAAATTCTAATAGTTATTAAGACTTACGGTACAAAATCATTCCATATCTATATGCTACACTCTGCCAGCAGCTCTCAATGTAATCACTAACAGCTGACACTGAAGCATCTCACTTGGGGATGCATCAGGGAAATTGTTTGGCCTGTCACTTCTTTAATGGACTCACTTACACTCGGTTCATAGTAGCTCCTGAGAGGTTTTTTTTGTTTTATAAGTTCAATACTTAAAACATCAAGCATAACATCACTGTAGGAGAAAACTGGTTCCCTTTTGGAAAAAAAATTGCAACGTCCTCCTCATGATTTATGACTAAGGTGCTCTTTAACAATCTCCACATTTGAAAGGTATCTACAGAACCAGGTTTGCATTTATTAAAAAGGTAGGCACCACTAATAGCCTGTAGCTTTTTCAGTGGATAGGATATATAGACTATCTGACATTGGTTAGCCACTTCTGAGGGACTGGCTAGTGTCTTGTTTCAATATTTATCAATTAAGAGTGCAAACCACTCCATGAAAGCTTTAAATCAGCTCTGCAAATGATCTGTGCTTACAACACAAAAATTATTAAGTTGCAGAATGGTATATGAACTTCATTTTTTTTTCCTAGAATAATAGAAAAGGATGGCATTTTGACTTCTTAGTTCTTAGCATATAGCAGTTTATATATACACATTTTAAAAAATTTTTTAAAAAAGATTTTATTTATTTATTTGACAGACAGAGATTACAAGTAGGCAGAGAGGCAGGCAGAGAGAGAGGGGGAAGCAGGCTCCTCGCTGAGCAGAGAGCCCGATGCAGGGCTCGATCCCAGGACCCTGAGATCATGACCTGAGCCGAAAGCAGAGGCCTAACCCACTGAGCCACCCAGGCACCCCATATATACACATTTATTAGGAATTTTAATCCACTTAAAAATTTTTCCATTTTTGAGCCCTGCGTGAATATCTGATTATTTCTGAAAGACTGCTATGGAGCAATAGTGGGTGTTACCAAGAGTCTTAAAAAATGCAACTATCCTAAAGAACTAGAAGTAAAGTCCAAGACCCATGTTAAAATGTGTCCTTGGGACGCCTGGGTGGCTCAGTTGGTTGGACGACTGCCTTTGGCTCAGGTCATGATCCTGGAGTCCCGGGATAGAGTCCTGCATCAGGCTCCCACCTCCAAGGGGAGTCTGCTTCTCTCTCTGACCTTCTCCTCGCTCATGCTCTCTCTCACTGCCTCTCTCTCTCAAATAAATAAATGAAATCTTAAAAAAAAAAAAAAATGTGTCCTTAAAAATCACTCTGTAGGGGTGCCTGGGTGGCTCATCGGGTTAAACCTCTGCCTTCGGCTCAGGTCATGATCTCAGGGTCCTGGGATCAAGCCCTGCATCGGGCTCTCTGCTCAGCGGGGAGCCTGCTTCCCTCTCTCTCTCTGCTTGCCTCTCTGCCTACTTGTGATTTCTCTCTCTGTCAAATAAATAAATAAAATCTTTAAAAAAAAAAAAAGAAAGAAATTGGATTTATGTAGTAGTCTAACTTCAGAAATACTTCTTCAGTAAAACAGTGAAATATTTTTTACTTCTTTTTGATGGAAGTTATTTTGGATTGGTACGTGCTTTCATTTAACAGTTGGTGAACATTTTGGATTCTTGTACCAGAGTGCTGCATTAAACACATACAAAGGCAGGAGTTATAGACCACCTGCTTCATGCAAGATCTACTCCATGGTGTGATTTTGTGATGTTACAAATATGTGAAAATGCAAAATTATGTAATTTTGTTCTATGAATTGGTACTCCTGTATACCGCTAGCAGATGTAAATTCACAGCTCTCTACAAGAATTACAAGTCAGTATTTATTTTATTATATTTTTATTTTATTTTATGTTTAAGATTTTATTTATTTATTTGACAGAGAGACAGCAAGAGAGGGAACACAAGCAGGGGGAGTGGGAGAAGGAGAAGCTTCCTGACGTAGGGCTCAATCCCAGGACACTGGGATCATGACCTGAGCCAAAGGCGGACATGTAATGACTGAGCCACCCTGGTGCCCCTGTATTCATTTTAAATAGCTGAGACTGGTACACTAAAAGAAATCCTAACCAAGTTTTTTTTTTCACCCCCATTAGGCCTCCCTTATATGATTAGATTCATTTCAGTTAGTCTGTTTTTACAGAGTGATTTATTTTTAAGATTTTGTTTATTTATTTGACAGAGATCACAAGTAGGCAGAGAGGCAGGCAGAGAGAGAGAGGAAGGGAAGCAGGCTCCCTGCTGAGCAGAGAGCCCAATGCAGGGCTCGATCCCAGGACCTTGGAATCATGACCTGAACCGAAGGCAGAGGCTTAACCCACTGAGCCACCCAGGTGCCCCTAAATCCAATTTCTAAGGTAGATAATGTTTTAAAGCAATCATAATCTTGCTGTTGGCTTTTCCTTGACAGAATCACCCGACCTTTTATTTTTTTCTTTGAGAGAGCGGGCAAGTGCATGTGCACAAGAGGAAAGAGGAGCAGAGGAAGAGGGACAAGCAGAGTCCATGCAGAGCAAAGCCCGACATAGGGCTTGATCCCAGGATTCTGAGATTATGACCTGAGCCAAAGTCAAGAGTCAGATGCTTAACCAGGCACATTCCTCATTCAACTGTTTAAAGTCAACATTATTAAAATAATTACCAGTAGTACAACACACAAAAAATTTAAAAAGAAAAGAGTATTAGACACAAAGTGGTAACTAAAATCATGCATAATTTTTAACATACCTGCAGCATGTATAGGTGTTCTCTTCAAAATGTAATCTTTTACTAAAATTGAGGCTCCCTGATTAATGAGTACATCCACACATTCAACATGGCCCTTAAATGCTGCAAGATCTAAGGGTGTTCTTCCACTACTATTTCTCACATCAAGATCTAATAAAGACTGTACCAACACTTCTAGTGCTTGATGGTGACCATGATAGGCCTAGGAATAAATAAAAATATAAATTAAAAAAGTATATACTTTGACTTCTCAGATACCTTAGAAAACAAAGTAATAAGCAAACTTGTCTTCACATTATTACACCTGAGATAATCTAAAACATGCATACTGAGAGTTGAGAAAAGTTAAGTATAAATTTTTCTAATAACCAAATAGTAAACTACAGTGTTAGAGAATGGGTATTCTGCAGAGAATAAATGTTCAAATGACAGGTGATTTTATCACTAGCATACAATGGTCTGGTTCCTGGCATTCAATGAGTGTATAACATAGATTCAGTTAAACCTTTCATTCTAAGTCCATGATTGCAAAGCCTATGCTATTAATCACAGTTTAGTGCTCCACTTAACTCTGATAAAATTTTACTGTATTTAAATTATAGAGATAGCCAGCAACTGAAGTTAATTAGTATTTGAGTCTTCTGATTTCTTAAACTGAAATGACTATCCTCACTTCATAACATGCTGTATATGAAAAACAAACATTTCTTTTAGTGCAAAAATACTTAACACTGAGCCCCGCTTGAATAACTGCCATGTGCCAGGTACTAGCTACATAATAGAGGATGAAAATGTAAAGGTTTGTCAGACTGAAGTCCCCTTCTTTACCACAGTTTGATGAAGAGGCTTTCCACGTAATTCATATCAAAACCAACATGTCAACTGAACATCTATTACTTTCGTTGGACTAGATGCTGAGCAAGACATAAAGCAGTTAATAAGACCTAGTTGTGGCACGCAAACAATGTTTTCTTTAGTTTACTCATATTACCATTTTGTAGCTAAAGGACTTTCATATGCCAGTGCTAATGCCATTCAGAACTACAGCTTAGTAGTTAATCACAGGTGAATGTTTCACTGGGAATTGAAATATGTAAAATTCTACCATACTTGAACTAAATCTGAAAAAAGATACATAGCTAGAAGAAGGCCCCAAACTGCAGCAAAGGACTGTAAAGTTATTTCTTATAGAAAATGTCAGAAAGTACCAGGAAGACGTAAAGTTGCTCTGGGCCTTACTGATCTCTTTGCTGTTTCTGACTACCTACAGAGATTCTCAACCACCTCAAAGATTTAAGTAACTCTACTTTAGGAACTCTATTGTCCTAGGATCATATTTAATCTTGTTCCTCAATACTGGGTCAATGAAACTTGCTACTAGCAGAAAGAACTTTGAGAAACACAGTATATGCAGAAGACAGTATACAACAACAAGAGACAAATAAGGATGACAAGAAGCCATGATGATTTGCCAGAGAGGTGTTCCCCTCAAGATGTCCCTGTATAAGATGGAAACAAGGAATCTGAACAGGTAGTATGTGCAAAGACAAGAACCAAGACCTCAAGCTGGTGTGTTTTTACAGCATCAAGGTGTCCTGGACTGGGAAAGTTTGGAAGGGAAAAAAAATCACTTCAAGTTAATTTTTGAAAACCTCCTGGGAACAGATACAAAATGTGAAAAGTGGTGGTATCATCACAGTTCACGGAGTCTAATTACTAAATTAAAAACTGTTTCCATTTCAGCTTAAAAACACTACTCAGCACAAATAGCCATGTTCATATATAACACTACTACACATAATAGCCACGAAGTAAAAAAAAACTAGCTAAAAAAAAAAAAAGAAAGTTTGAGATAACGTATTCAAAAACTTGGCAAAGTGCTTAGTCTGACACCTAGTAAGTGCTTAGGAAATGGCAGTGCTAGTTTAAGAATGATGATGATGATGTAAGAACTGCCTAGTCATCTGCTCAGACTTCATTTCTTGCCATCAACAGTAAAATAGCTATCTTCTCCATGCTTGCTTTGCCCTTCTGGATGACTTATTTACTCTGCAAGTCTGGGAGAGCAGACAGTATTTCCAAAGACCCAAAGGGCAAGGAAGCAGGACGTTGCAGCATACCTCCTTAGTCATTCAGAAAATGGTAGGGAAGTCTAAGCAGGGAGAAAGGGGTAGAAAATTCAATGCAGATGCATTGGTGTTAGAAAATATGCAGGAGAATCTTATTAAAAAACCCAGCACACGTGAGAAGAAATAAAGGGATCAGTGAACTTGTAGTGATCCTCATTAACTTAGGTATAAACCCTTATAAACATTTTACTACATGTAAATCCACCAATCTCCCAAATAGCTAGTACTGTATCCATGTCTCTTGATTCTCAATCTTCATCTCACCCCCCACAAATGTTAACATTCTCTGTTTCAAAAACAGATTCTTCTTTTAGCACAAAAAGAACAAGATTGGGTCTTGCTTGAAATTTCCTAAAGTAATTTATTCCCACATCTGATTTAAAGAACTGTTTTACTTCACTAACCTTCTCCTCTTAGTGACTGACATTATGAGAATCAAGCTAAAACAGAAATTACAAATCATAGAGCCAAATTCTATGGTATGAGCAACTGAAGGACCACTGAACACACACTTAGTGCTCCAAAATCAAAAAAGTTGTAGAAATGCAGCAGAAAATAAAGTTCTGCTCAGCTAGTTAGAAGTCATTCCATTAGGGCAGTGCATTTTAAAATTCACATCACAGGTATATTCTCTCCCTTACAGTAGGCTTTGGGAGAAACCCAAAGATCACTGTTTATTTTTTAAATAAATTGTAACAGGTACACTCAAGAAGTCTCTGACTTAAAAAAGTTGTTGAAGATTTAATTTCATGATCATCATACATGGCCCAAAAGTTACTGGGTATTAGTTTGAGTCAAACAACCAGATGGGAGATATTTGCAATAAACCCGGCATCAAGTTGGCTGTAAAGGCAGTACTCACGGCCAAATGTAAAGGGCTTATTGTTGCTCTATTGTCTGAATCATTCAGCATGTCTGTCCCAGAGGTTTCCATTAACTGAAAGAAAAGTATTTGAAATGTCAGAAATGGTACTTTTAGATATATTACAGCAGTTATTCCTGCCTCCTTCCTCAAGTTTAAATACATTTTAGAGTAAAAATTGATACTTAAATATGAATTTTAAAATCTCAGACCATTATACTGTGAAAATTCCACTCAGCAAGCTTATACAACAGATCATCATGAAAGGGTGGTGAGGACCACAGAATAAGAGCTCTGAGGTAGGGCTATATACTAGCTTGAGGGAAACGCTATTTACTCACCACCAAGTAAGAACCACCTGCCCCAGCCCCATACCCTAAATGTACTTGTCTCTCTGTTCTCAGGAATGTGTAGATTGGGCTTCAGCTCTAGTGAGAGCAAATAAATTAATTATAATACTCCAAATGGGGGGCAGATTATTACTTACAACATCTAAAGGAGTTTCACTTGCAATCTGAAATAAAATTCAAAATAAGAATATTTAGCTTAGAAAATATTCATATACATTAGAGCTAAATGTTCTCTATTTACACAAAGCTTTGTTAAATTCTATTCTGAGCTTGTGTTCCCTTTGCCTCAAAAAATTAAATCTTTTTTTTTTTAAAGATTTTATTTATTTATTTGACAGAGAAAGATCACAAGTAGACAGAGAGGCAGGCAGAGAAAGAGAGGGAAGCAGGCTCCTGCTGAGCAGAGAGCCTGGGACTCGATCCCAGGACCCTGAGATCATGACCCGAGCAGAAGGCAGCGGCTTAACCCACTGAGCCACCCAGGCACCCAAAAAATTAAATCTTTTAAATAAATAAGTATGCAGTATAATATACCACTTATCTCTATTCATGGGTCTAAGATTTTAGTGTACAAGATACCATAATAACCTAAGGAAATATCTGTTATTTCTGATAACAGGGTTTTAAGTACTGCATTAAACAGGTCAACCTGCTTTTTCTATCTTTAATATCCACTCTGTTGAAGAGAAGAAAAGTTTAATATAATTTAATATAATTTATAAGTAAATAAAGAAACTTTAAACTTGAAGCATCTGTTACACACTTGATAATCTTTTAAATTGTCTCTTGCTTTCTCTTTGGTTTGGCAAAGTGTGGTGAATGGCGTGTATATTCAAGAATGAGATCACAGCTGAAATAAAAAGCTCCTTTGCAGAAGTACTGTCTCCCCTATCAGGAGGGACTGTAAAAAGAATGGGCCTTTCAGAAATCTCTAAATAATTTATATGGAAAAAACCCTCCTCTCACAGGACATTTCTCACACAACACATGGTTACAGTTCTTTAGAAATTTCTGGAAAACATTTATTTAAAGGAAAAGGGAAAAGAAATGCTACATCAACACAGGGTAGTATAAGGGAAGGACACAAGAAGCCCTTTCCAGAGATCTAATTTTCTCCATTCTCTTCTTTTTGAAAGGGGAAGAGGAATGAGAGATATCTTACTGAGGCAAGTATGAATTTAAGAGGTATATATTGGATCTAAAAATATTAAAAAGAGAGTTTGTTTGGTTCATTTATTCTCATTCTCATTATGTTATTAGAATATAAAATCACATTAGTCTTTCCACAACAATTCACGAATCTTACCAGCTGAAGACAAAGACGGTGACCATAAGCAGCTGAATAATGAACTGCATTGTATCCTTGCTTGTCACGGATCCCTGGATTTGCATCATTTCGCAATAAGTATTCCAGGCACCTGTATATAGTAATATTCAAAATTCTAAATTTTGCATTTTAACCAATGATAAAGACAATCTGAAACTAAAAATGGACAATTTTTCTTACAATTTCTTGCAATTTTTCTTTTTCTTGAGAAATGTAAAAATTATAAATACATCTACACTATATAAATGTCATTTAAATGACATTGATTATAACTATCATAAGAATACAAGCGAAATGTTCATTAGAGAATATCCTTCATTCAAAGTGAATATCTCCAAAGTCTGTCAACAAGCTCAGTATACCTGAGGGCTGGCTGTCTTTTACACAGTCACTATGTATGGCACCACCTATTCCACTCAAACAGTATCTGACAGGATTAAACTTAGTGGTGGTGAGCATCCAATGTTGGCAATATTACTGTTGACGTATCTGGAACACATAGTGACTGTAATATCTCATTAGGAAGCTGAAGAAAGGATATAAAAAATATATCTCAGGATAACAAGGTCAGAATTCAATGATCTTGAATCAGAGGACTGAGAAGACTGTAAATGGTGTAAAGTCATATGTAGGTAACAAGAAAGATCCTCCCATGGCAGATTTATCTGATTCCTGGGCTATCAAAGCATTAGAAAAATAATTTTAAAAGGTACAATTCACGATTTGTTATAATTTTAGTACATTTTATTGTTAATGTAGCAAAAAAGGAGCACTGAGTTAGAAATTAGAAGATTGTCTATAGAACTAGTCTCCTACCAATGATCTTGAGCAAATCAAATCATTTCACCTTTGTGGTAAAATGGCCTCTGTTTGTTCCTTTTATAGATGGGGTGGGGGACAGAAATCCAACTAAGAATGCTAAACTCCATTTATGCTCAAATTTCATATCCATAATTATTTGTTGATAATTTGTCTAATATTATAGTATGTCTAACTAAATATTAATTCAACTACTGAGGGAAAATTCATAATCAAATTACTTGTTAAAAATTCAAGTTTCCTTAAGGAGTGCACTTGCCATGATGAGCACTGGGCAATGTATGGAACTGCTCAATCACTATATTGTATACCTGAAACTAATATCACACTGTATGATTAACTATACTAAAATTTAAAAAGACAAAAAAAGTGTAAAAAAATTCAAGTTTCTAAAAGCATACTGAAGTTATATAAAAACAAACAAAAAAGAACTCCAAAGCAACGTAACTGATCTTTTAGTAACTGTATCATATATAGATATATATAGAATGTATTACACACATATATAACTATCATTTACATATCTATATGTTACCTATGCATCAATCATCTACCTACCTATAAGGGCCTTTCTTTTCAATGCCAACACATTTCTTTAATGCTGAATTGCTTAAAATCCTTTAGATCCCTTAGTAATTACTTGCAGACTCTTTATTTATTATCCTCAATGGTAGCAAATGTCTATCCATTTAAGTGGAATTTTGACATTTATGTATAGCTAAAATCATTAGTCAAATATGGTGAACTGGGTATCACTATGATCAAAAAAACCCAAATATGAATCTAAAGTAACAAGATTGGTGTTTTCTGGTGTTCATAAACTAGCTTCGAGGGCTCTGCAGAAAGTGTTCCAGACAGTGTATAAACTGTGTCCAGTTTTCTTTCCTAGGTGTCCAAGTCAGAGGTCAGTGCTCACTGGAATGGATAAAAGACCTGCAGGCCTGGAGGACAGTCCCATTGCTTTGAAGGCACAAACATTTCACCCAAGGGCATATCTTATCTTTAATAAAGTTCTCTAGATGAGAGAGATAAAACAGAAATAGTTCTCCAATTGAGACCTGAGTACAAAGCAGATTCTATCAGTGGAACAAACTATTTTAAGATAACTTGCTGATACATGAGTACTGAAAAAAAAAAAAAAAAGATCTATTTAAGGAAAGTAAAACAAGTAGGTAAGTTCGTGTTTACTTTCTAAAGTAAGAGAGCACATCTCAATGCATTTACAATGACTGGTCCATCGATACAGCATTAAATGGCTTCAAATAATTTGTTATACATTAATTCTTATCAAATCATATGATTTCTTTATTTTTTTTACATTCATATCATTCATATAGTTGGTTTCCTGTAACAAAACAAAGACTAAGAGTGACTTTGAAATAAAATTCCTTCTACTGGCCTGCCTTTTACATTTTGCTAAGCAGTATCAACTTTCATTAACTACTTTGTGAGATAAAGCATTATCTTCAACAAATGGAAAAAATTACTGACACTGAGGAAAATCAAATCATATTCAAAATCTTTTGGCTAGCATACAGCAAAGCAAGGACTAGACCTTAGGTCTTCTCTTCATCCAGTGTCCTCTTCATGCTACCAAATACTTCAGCACAGGAGTTAATGAGTTAGAGTGGCACTTTAACCTGGGTGCTTATAAAATACTGAACCACAAAATTACTTGGTCTTGAATATGTGGACCTCACATCTAATTTGCAAATAAGGGGGAGGGGAGAGAGTGTATTCTTTTTTCCTGATTGTAAGTTAACACACTGATTTTATAAAAGCCAGAAAATCAAGATATAAACAACCTTCCCTGGGGATGCTGACAGGGGATTAGCAAATGATCATAAAAAAACAAACCACAAATACACATTACTGAATAGTAGTAATTTGAAGTTATAGGGATTTTGTGTCCTTTTTAAGAATATATTTCACACTTGTAAGTATGAATTAATCATTCCAGATTATTTTATTAGAGAAATAAAAAAATAAAAATAAAATTCTTTTATTTTTTTATTTTATTCTTTTATTCCCAGTTTATATACCTGGGAATTAAATCAGTGTGATTTAGAAAAATAAGTCAACATTTCTGTTTTTGGGTTTTTTTGGGAGAGGGGAGGGCAGAGGGACAGGAGAGACTATCTTAAGCGGGCTCCATGCCCAGCATGAAGCCCCACACAAAGTTTGGGTATCATAACCCTGAGATCATGACCTGAACTGAAATCAAGAGTTAGACGCTTAACCACTGAACCACCCAGGTGCCCCAATATTTTACCAATGTTACAGTACTAATAATTGAGTCTCCAAAACAATCATTTATTGAAAGGATGCCTCTGGTATCCTAAAGTGGTTACTGTAGCTTATAGCTTCCAGAAAGTTCTCAAGAACAAATCACTGAGACAATAAATGATGGCATTAGACAGGACCTCTAGGATTCTGATATTTTAAAGAAACAGAGGCTCTAAGAAACAGTGTGAGAGGGGCACCTGGGTGGCTCAGTCGGTTAAAAGACCAACTCCTGATTTAGACTCAGGTCATGATCTCATCATGAGATTCAGCCCTGTGTTGGACTCCATGTTCAGTGGGGGAATCTGCTTGAAGATTATCTCCCTTTGTCCCTCCCCCATTCTCTCAAGTAAATCTTAAAGAAAAAAAAAAAAAAACAAAACAAAACAGTGCTAGATTATTTTATATACATAATCTTAGTTTTCCCCACAATTCTAAGTAAGTTTCTTTTCAATTTTACAGATAAAGATTTTGCTTGGCAATTACCTGCTCAGGCTCAAAGGGGTATAATATAGAAACTCCAAGATTTAAACTGGGTCTTTTGGATCCCAAAGTTCATGTTCTTTCTAGCACATCAGGCTGCTTTGGGTAGATACTGAGAATTAAATGTTTAAGTAATAAGTATCACTAGGCTGTTGCTCAAAACAGTTTATATTAGGTGAAAGAACTGATTTATATCACTTTAGTACTGATACACTTCTACAAAAAAAGTAGATTGGTTTAAAACAAAACCACAAATTCCAAACAGTATGGGTTGAACATTGTTATTCTCTTGGTTTCTGCATAAGAATTCAGGTTTAATGTAACTGTCTAAGGGCAGGAGGACCTTGGGTAATCTCTACGTGCGTGTGTGTGTGTGTGTTTGTGTGACATCTCAGTGGAATTTATGTAGATCCCATTGAGTGACACCTAATAACTAGTGTGTGGGAACAGTGGTAAAGGATCATTGGTGGTGATATGCTCATTTTAGGTATAACCTATTTTAAGAAAAATCTATAAATTAAACTCTGAAGTTACAAAATTTATACATCAGAGGATGATCTACTTACCCAAGTTTACCAACATTTTTTTAAAATTAAGATTTTACTTATTTATTTGATACAGAGGGGGAGAGAGAGGGGTGGACAGAGAGAGAGAGCGCACAAGCAGAGGGAGTGGCAGGCAGAGAAGGGAGCCTGATGCAATGCAGGGCTTGATCCCAGGACTCTGGGATTATGACTTGAGCCAAAGACCCATGCTTAATTGACTGCGCCACCCAAGTGCCCCACCAAAATATTTTCTTATTTACAAAGTCTTTACCACAGATTTTCTTTAAAGAGCTACTATCCATAAAAACATACTTCAAGTAATTTAACTTCTCCCAAAATCTATCTACACCTAACTATTCTAGGTTTATGTGAAATTATACAAAGTGATACATTCTTGTAAACAAAAGTAGATTTTACTAGTGCTTTTGAGATTACAGAGCTTCAGCTTCGAATCCAACATAACAAAGTGCTACTGATAGAAATGGCTTTGATATTAGTTACAGAATTTATAATAAATTAACATTTGTGAATAATATCTTCAAGTTATACTTTTTATTTTAAGGGTAAAAAGCAAATATTAAAAACCAGAGAAATAGTTCTATGTTAATTAAAACTTCCTTGAAGTATATTTTATAAAATCCCCCTTACAAACCACTCTTTGTTTTTCCCTTTGGGTATTTTTACTCTTAACTGATCCACACACAATTGAGATTACCACAAACTGAAGATCCTCTCTCTCCGATGAATTTATTTACTTCCAGGAAGGCAATGTATATTAAGGTACTATGAATGGTTCTGATCAACTTTAGGTGAATATTAATTATAAAAAATAATTTACACATCTCTTGTTCTTTGGTTATGCAGGCATTCTTGGCCAGTATTTGGTTATTCCATTATCTCATTTACTTATTTAAGCAATATTTAGAACCAACAAGTGCCAGATTTTGCCATACTGGCTACTCCCTTTTTGGATAGATACCCATTTATAAGAATCTCTTACAAATACAAACTCTCTACCTCTGACTGATACTGGTGTTCCAATCTCTGCCCCATCTTCCGCTGGCATTGTCCACATCTCTTCTCTGTCCCTTTCCCTATGATAAACTCAAAACTGCTGCCTCTGAGAAGTCAGAGGGAAAAAACATGGAGATGATATTAAGATGTGCTTTGGCAGGGAGGACAAGAAGAGGCCTTTATCTATCTTCTACCAGATCAGTCAATAAAGCAGGATGCTGAGTAGAAACAGGTAATAAACTATGGTTCAGGAATAATTATCAAACCAATTTATTTCCCACACTAGAGACTCAAGAAAATACCACAAAAAGTATAAAAATATGAACTTGCAATAAAAACAACCATCCACACGGAAAATGTTGGTTTATAGAAATAATCCTTCATTCTCACCACATGATACTTACTTGCCATCTGTGTCTGATGTGGCTGCATAGTGCAGGGGTGTGCATCCTCTTTCATCAAGGTCATTCACACTTGCTCCTGATCCCACAAGAGCAAACAGGCACTGGTAATTGCAGTTGGCAGCAGCATAGTGCAGCGGAGATCTTGTGCCCAAGTTAATATAAGAAAAATAAAAGCCAGGGACATACACCAGTAAATAAGTGCACAGCTGACTCTTACTCCACCCAGTTACAAATACTGAATTTACAGTGAGTCTGAGATCGATTTCTACCATATACTAAGTCTTTTGGAGGGCGGGACAAAAGAAGCTAGTACAAGAAAGTAAGGTAGCAAAGAACCTCTAAGAGTAGGAAATTACGACAGAAACACAGTAAAATTATTTCATGGTCCCCACAGTAACGATTCTAGTCTTTTGAGTGAATTACAGACACCTTCATATTCTGCTCAGAAACTTCTGAACACTTTCATTTTAACAAAACTTCCCTTATACTAACAAAAATGTTTCACAGTACAGGGGTAGAAGCTGCTGTTCATGTCTCAGGAGGAATAAAGGATAAGAGAAATATAGAAGCATTAAATAGAATGCCCTACTCTACCAACCATACAGTAAAGCTCTACAGTAGTATCAGGTTTCTCAAGCAAGAACTGCATAGTTTTGAAAACTTTTTTATTCAGAAGAGTTAGAATACTGTTTTTAATTTCTAAAGACTGAATATTTGTAGCCCGTTTCCTCCCAGTTACTGACATGCAACAGAATGTTACTAAAATTCCGTCTTTGAATTGCAACTCTATAATGATTCCATGACTTTTCATTAAAAAAAAAAAAGAGGACAGAAGAAAAAAAAAAACAAAAAATGAAGGTAAACAGTAGTAAAACAGTACTACTAAACAGTAGTAAAACATTATTTTACTTTATTGGATAACCACATAGTATAGTAATAGCATTTTTTTCCTGTCTTGGTGGCTCCCCCCCTTTATTTTTATTTATTTATTTTTAAAATTATTTTTATTAACATATAATGTATTGTTTCAGGGGTACAGGTCTGTGAATCATCAGTCTTACACATTTCACAGCATTCACCATAGCACATACCCTCCCCAATGTCCATAACCCAGCCACTCTATCCCTACCCCCCGACCCCCAGCAACCCTCAGTTTGTTTTGTGAGATTAAAAGAGTCTCTTATGGTTTGTTTCCCTCTTAATTAAGAAATACAATTAACCCTGAATTACTTCCAAGCTTCTAAACTCAGAATATGCTTCAGAAGCCCTTGCTGCCATTTGTAGTAAAAAAATGCTTCAAGTGCTACAAATTAACTAATGTAAGATGGATTAAAGTAGAATTGTAAAAGTCAATTTACTGTAAAAATATTGCATTGCAAAGCCAAACAAAATGATTTTGGTTTTGCAGGTCATTAGTTCCTTTTATTAGTAGGCTTATGAGAGCAGTCTATTCCTCAAAGTAATTATGGGGTCAAATAGTTTTTTTTTTAAATATGCATTTCTGATTCCCTACCATACATAATTGTTTACTTCTGCACTGACCCTATCCCATGCACTAATTGTACATCCACACATTTCCTTCTGACACACACACCCTTTCTTGTCACATGCTTTGATGTAATTCTCAAACTCATGACCCACAATTTTGCTCACACTGCCTGCCACCTCTCTTTTTTTTAACCAATTCAAACTGCCTTCAATCCTTTCCTGTATGGTTTTAGCACATGCTAGGTCAACTCCTACTCTAAGTAACTTAGTAGATACTGGTGACTTTAAGTACCGCTACCATCAATGCTAGTCACAGTAAGAATGAGGACTGGCTAAAAGACTACAAAGGGATTCTGTTACTTCACAGTTATTTTCCTACCAGTCATATGAAGGGGTGTATGTGGATGTGCTAGTATGTGTATAGGTAACATGGGGAGTTAAATGAGGGAAGAACAAAAGTTTCATGCATATTTATTATCTATTTCATTCCTGTTTCTAGTGGTCTGTAACCAATATGGGCACCAAAGTCTCTGACAATGAAATGACTTAGGGGTAAGGAGAATTGTACTACTGAGTTCTAGGTCTTGTGAATTTCTTGAAGGAACAGAGGCACCATGGGATTTTACATTTCTAAGTGTAATTATGGGAGGAGGAAGAATGATATCGAGAGATTCAGAGGTGCTTATAAGGTAAAGCTGTGGCTGACAGCCTGGGGCTGTGGCAGGGGCCCAAGTGGAAGAAGACTGTGGGTAAAAATGAATTATTTCAAAGTTACTGACTTATTCAGGCCTCTCAGTGAATCATGATCACAATGCAAAAGATGCTGAACTGTTAATTCTCAGAAGACAGAAGGTCATGTAAGTCATTTAATAAACAACATTAATTAGGTTCTACAGAGGAATGTCATCACAGCCTACCTCCCAAATTTGTCCTTTTTGTTGAAGTCTGCACCAGTATTCAGCAGAAGGTTTAGGCACTCCAAATTCCTATTAGGGAAAATACAGTTAGAAGACTTAACTGTCAATAATTTCATAACAAAATTGGTAGTTTAAGTACCAAAACATGTTTTCAAATGAAGACAAAGTGAAAAAAATGACATGATTTATATTTAATAAAAAATAAAACATTAAAAAATAAAATAAAACATTAAAATTCATTGTATCTAGAATTTTAAGAAGTTATATATATATACATATTGGCATGTTGACAGGAAATAACAGTGAGTCATGTTGTCACTATTTAAAAGAAAGCTCACATTTAAGTTCCTGAGAGTTGGTTAAGTGGCTGCCTTAGGCTCAGGTCATGAGCCTGGGATGCAGCCCGAGTCCTTGGACTCCCTGCTCAGTGGGGAGTCTGCTTTTTCCTCTGCCTTCCCACTCCTGGCACCCCCTTAATGCTCACACTCTATCTCAAATAAAATCTTAAAAAAAAAATTCCTTAGAGTTTTTAGGAACCTTTAAAACAAACTTCAAACAGCATGCTTTTAACAGAATGGTTTAAATTTAAATGGTTTTTAATACTAAATTAAAAGAAAATGGGTTAAAAAAAATCAAACCTGAAAATGCTCCAATTTGTTTTCCCTTATCTTCTCCTATATTATAATTGCTTAAATGTATCTTTAGTTAAAATTGTAGGAGCGTACGGTACATGCATGGGTCTTTCTATAGTTTAACTTTCAAAACCCTGAACATTATTACTCTGTTACACTAGAAACTGAGATCAGCATCTAATCAGACAGTCATGTTGTCTTTTGTCCCTCCCTTTGGAGGCCAGTAATATGGAAGCTAAGTTTTAACTGGAAAGTCCTTTCGTGACCTTGGAAGAACAAGAGGACCCAGTCATATGTTCACAATCCATCTTTGCATCTGCGACTGGCCTAGTAGTAGTCTTGGTTCAGTATACTTGTCCTCTGAAACCACTGGGAACTTTTTTTTTTTTTTTAAAAGATTTTATTTATTTATTTGACAGAGAGATCACAAGCAGGCAGAGAGGCAGGCAGAGAGAGAGGAGGAAGGAGGCTCCCTGCTGAGCAGAGAGCCCGATGCGGGGCTCGATCCCAGGACTCTGAGATCATGACCTGAGCCGAAGGCAGCGGCTTAACCCACTGAGCCACCCAGGCGCCCCCAACTGGGAACTTTTAAAGAATGATTATTAGTAATAAAATTCTTGTAAATGATGTTTTTGACAAGTCACCATGAATTAAATGTCTTATTGCAGATTTAGGATCTAACTGATCAGAAACAATAGATTAGCAGCATGCTTCAAAGATGATGAGTTTTAATTGAAGGTTGTTGTTCATTCAAACCAAGAGCCTAGTTACCCCTAGCGGCAATATTTAAAACTTTGTCTAAAATTTTTCAATCTCAAAAATTTTCTTTTTCCTATTAGGGTAGAGGAAAGACATAAACAAGCCACAGACATTTTCTTCTCCTAAAATTATGATTAAAAAAACCCTACACAGCTTCTCATAGAACATCAGTATTACTCAGAACATCTCTAATGTTTCGTTGCTCTCTATTCCTTTCACTTACCCACAAATGATTTTCTCTCACAAAAAGCAATACTTCCTTTTACAGTTTTGCTCCACCTCCCCCACATTACTGTATCCTTTTACAGTTTTGTTCCATCTCTCTTCCCACTCATAATTTATGACTTAGATGGAAGAGGGTTTAGAAAAAGTAATTTCTACTACTCTGGACTTTCTTCTCCCAAACCATTCCTTTTATGGTTTGTTTTCCATTTTGACACAGCCCAGAACTATTAAAGAGAAACAAAAATAAGAGAAAAACTGACATGACCAGCTACCTTCTTCTTAAAAAAGTAAAAATTTTGTTAACATACCCTCCAGCTGCAGCTGCGTGTAGACAGGTCCTTCCAAAATCATCTGGGGTATCTATATCAAATCCTGTAAGAATGAATACATCTTACATAGTATCATAGGTAAGTTATTTCATATTAAAGTACTATGTCAAGAAATGTCATGTATCATATGACCCCCAATCTCAAACAAAACTGAATTACAAATAGGCACAAAATTATTGAAAGTAGGTAATAATATATAATATTGCCAAAAAAACTGCCTCTAAAGGACTGAGACTAGCTTTAGGATAAGTGCTGGAGAACTTGTTTAAAAACCATAGGATATAACGGAATATTATTCAACAATAAAAAGAAGTGAAGTACTGATACATGTTATAATATGAATGATCCTTGAGAACACTTGGCTAAGTGAAAGAAAAGACCACATCTTGGGTGATTCCATTTCTATGAACTTTCCAGAACAGAAAAATTTAGAGACTGAAAGCAGAGTAATGGTTGCTTAGAGAGGTGAGGGAGGAAATGAGGACTGACTGCTAACAAGAGGATGAGAATGTTCTAAAACTGACTATAGGGGTGCATGGATGGTTCAGTTGGGTTAAGCATCTGACTTCGGCTCAGGTCATGATCTCAGGGTCCTAGGATCAAACTCTGTGTGTGGCTCCCCGCTGAGCAGGGAGTCTGCTTGTCCCTCTGCCACCTCCCCCCGCCCCTGCGCTGCGCACACTCTCTCTCTCAAATATATAAGATCTTAAAAAAAAGAAAAAAACAACTGTAATGATGGACACATACCTCTGAATATACTAATAGACACTGAACTATATGCTTTAAATGGGTGAATTGCATGTTATGTGAATTATGTTTTTAGGGGTGCCTAGGTGACTCAGTTGGTTAAGCATCTGCCTTTAGCTTAGGTCATGATCTTGGGGTCCTGGGATGGAACCTGTGTCAGGTTCCCTACTTAGCAGGGAGTCTGTTTCTCCCTCTGCCCCTCCCTGCCACTTGTGCTCTCTTCCTCTCTCAAATAAATAAAAATCTTAAAAAACAAACAAACAAACAAAAAACTGTTTTTAAAAGAAGCCACAGGTGCTTTGCTACCTGTGGATTATTACTAACACTGAGGAGAAATTTTAGACTTCTCTTTCATAGACAAATGGGTTTGTGAATACTTGTGGACATACACATACTTTTAAAAACTTAAAGCAGAAATAACTTAAAAAAAAAAAAAACACTAAGAAAAACTCAGAAGTGACTGTCTCACAGAGTATGTTAATTTTCACCAAAACTTTCCCATAATTTTTTCAGCAATCTTGAGTATTAATATGCAAAATGTGTTCAACTTTTTTAACACCGAGAAAGATTATCATTTAAAATCAATTGAATTATATATACTCAGTAATTCTATGCATTTAATAAGAACCACAGTTTTAGAATATTTGTAGAAAGCTATAGATCCTGTTTTGTTTCAAACAGACTATGATTATGTTATTATAACACAGTAATTAGATATGGTATAAATAATTTCACAAACCTGGAAGATACTATAGCATGGCTACCAGCTCCTAAAAAGGAAGCATGCAAATGAAGATATTCTGTTTCTAGACATATGGAGATGATCCAAGAAAACTACCATTCAATGAATAGAAACTACTCTAGAAATACTCCATATCCCATTCCCCAGCTAACAGAAGGAAATACTGGAAAAATAAAACTTTTCCCAGATTTAAAGATAAAACTGAATCTTCTTTTTTTTTTTTTTTTTTTTTAAGTTAAAAAAGACCCAACATCTTCTAAGAGAGTTTAAGAAATGATTCACACTTGTACATATCTACAAGTAATTTTGGAAAAGCAGGATAAGGAGACTGTACTGAAATATGGAGGGCTTTGGGGAAACAAAAAAAAAAAAACTCCGTCTACAATGGTTCCACTTACCAGAAGAAAGAAGTTTTCTGCAGCAATCTGAAAAACCACTTAAGGCTGCCAAATGGAGGGGGAACATTCCATGTATGCCACGCCTGAAGTGTAAGTAGGATAGTAACCTCATTACAATCAAGAATAACACAATCATTTAAATAAATTACAAAGAAACTAGTTAAAGTGGAAAGATAATTAGATGAGTCCAACCCTTTAATATTTTAAAGAGCAATTTGGCAAAAGGCTGAAGGCGGGCATAGCTTATTTATTATCCAGCAATTTTCCTCCAGAAGTAGAATTTTTCAACCTTAGTACTATTGCCATGAAGGACTTTGTTGGTGGCTGGGGAGGGGCAGCTTCCCTGTGCATACAGGATGTTCAGAGGTACCCCGAGCTCTATCCAAACCAGATGCCAGTAACACCCTCCTCCCAAAATATGACAACCAAAATTGTCTCTGGACACTTGCCTAGAGTATGAAATTCATTCTTTTGCTTTGCCAGTGAGAATCATTACCACAACACAAAATGTTCAAGAATGCTCACTGTAGTAATTTTTGTAAAATTGGAAGCAACTTAAATTTGCAAATAAGTAGAATGAATAAACTATGAAACCTTTATATAATAATTACATTTTATAAAATGGATGAACTACAGGTTATTTGTAGAGATTATGAAAGAAAGTCCAAATTTTCTACATGGCTAAATCAGAGACTGCAAAACTGTGTAGAGTTCCATCACATTTACAGAAAGCTTAAAAGAAGGTTTAAAACATGTTAATGAATATATGTAATAAATGTAATAAGATGTAATAAAAATATAAAGACACACCTAAGAATGATAAGCATCAATTTAAGTAGGGTGTTTACTTCTACATAGCATGCAAGAGAATCCATCTTTCCAAAAAAACCTTTAAAGAGAAACTTCAATATATAAAATAGACAAATGTGTTGTTTTGACCAAAGCGCGGGGGGGGGGGGGGGGGGGGGGCAAAAAAATCTACAGATAATATTATCTGAATGAAAAAGAAAAGCATTCAGTACATAAATACTTTTAGGTCTTTTATTTACTTTTAGATTAAAAATAAATAGATCACAACAATGAAAAGCTCTGACTAAACTGTGCATTATTCATAATCTAGAATTCACTGGGGTAAAAAAAAAATGCACTATGCTGGCTTACCAAAGAAATCACATTAAGTATCTATTCTAGCATATCATCCATACAAATAGGTAAAAGCTCAAGCAATTAGCACCATATTGGGCACAAAGATCCATACTTCTACTTGAAATCTCTAGAACACAGCAATTCACTTCCATCTGTGTTTCCCTTTCAGCACAGCTATCAACACTGTGGTTAAGTACTTACTTTGCAGTGTCAGCACCACTTGTAATAAGAGTGTTGATTAGCAGCTCATGGCCGTACCTTGCTGCTATGTGCAAAGGGGTGTTTCCATTCTTATCCTCACAGTCAATTACAGCTCCTGCAATAAATAATGTACTATCAGATGCTGGACTATATTAAGATCAAGTCAAATTTATTACACAGAAAGTAACATAAAACTCTATTCAGGCATAAACTAATGGATATAGTGATTTAACTAGGTTTCACTCATAGGACATATAATGGACCAGGCACTGAGGTTACAGATTTTACACTTAAAAACAATTTTGTGAACTAAGCATAAGCTTTTAATATATTTTATTTTATTTTTTTGTTAAGATTTTATTTATTTACTTGGCAGAGAGAGAGAGAGAGAGAGAGAGAGAGAGATCACAAGGAGGCAGAGAGGCAGAGAGGGGGAAGCAGGCTCCCAGATAAGCAGAGCACCTGATGCAGGGCTTGATTCCAGGACCCTGAGATCATGACCTGAGCTGAAGGCAGAGGCTTTAACTCACTGAGCCAGCCAGGTGCTCAGCTTTTAATATATTTTAAAATGATGAAGGGTTCTGGGGTCCTATAAGTTTGGAAACCACTATATTAAAACAAAATTAAATACATTTCTTTAGAGCAAGATTTCAGAGCTTCAATGCACACATGCCAAGTATCATCAAAATTGCAGGCAATGCTTCAGGAATTATTTGATCACAAAACTACTACTTTTTCCTTGCAAAACCGTAACAACTATTATCTTGAGGACTATTAACAAACAGTTCCTTGGAATATGGCTTGGGAAACACTAAAGTAATGTACCTAAGAGCTTTTATTTAAAGGTTTAGCTTGCCTAGTACTAATTCAAATGCAAAAGAATACAAGTTCTGAAAGTAAAGTCCTAAAAATAGTTCAGAATACCCAATAGGGGAAAAATGATAAATGCAACAGAGTTTTGTTAATGTATAATACAAATACAAACTGCGGTGGAAAGGCAAAGTTTTCTATTTAGCAATGCTTTAAAAAAGCCCACACCAACTGCTAGAGAAATTGTATTTCTAATTCAGGTGAAACAAAACAAAAATAAATGAAAAATTATGAAAGATACATATATATGGCATTTTATACTCTTTATTATTTGATCTTCATAAGATCTGAAATCAAATATTAAAAATATATAGACAGCTACAATAATTTCTCAATACCATTCATTTTGTGGGTGTTTTTACTACATTTAAGAAAAAAAACAAACAGAAATACTTTTTACCACTCTGGATAATGGTTTGTGATCTGGAGAATCTACCATGGAGGGCAGTCATGTGCAGTGGGGTTTTCCCATCCTTGCTCTGAAATAATCAAATATGAAAGATTTAAAATTACTGTTATATCTGTCATATGTAACCCTTAGTTTTATTTTGAATATCCTCCTGCATCTTTATCTTGTAAAATTACTATTCAAGCATTAAGTTTAGCTCAAACTTATGGAGGTAAAAGAGCTGTTCAGAATTAGGAACTTTTTTTTTTAAAGTACAGATATTATGAAGCACAAATATAGAAAACAAAACAAAACAACCAACCCTCAATGCCTACAGTTTACCAAAAGCTCTGCACGGTAGGTATACAGTGTAATCCTAGTATCATTCCTGTTACAAAGGTGGGAAAACTGGAGCACAAGGATATTAATGATTCAACCAAGGTCACATAGTCAGTAGTGGTACAACTGGAATGTTTCCCACCTTTCCAAAATTTGATCTTGCTACAGATCTTTCATTTTAAGAAATGCTGAATCCCTCCCTCAACCAAGGAAAAGTGAAAGTCAGAATTAACTTCAACCACTATAATTCACTTTAAAAACTTAATATTTGTTTATAATTATTTGTAATCAATACTGTTAGCTTTTTTCTCAAATTACTTAAAAATATAATCATACTGGCTGGGTATGTGCGTATTTAATGTACAAACTCTGAAATTTTAAAGGGCTTTATCAAAACATACAATGTGACCATTACAAAGAAAGAATCTATTTTGCAATTCCTAATCCCTCAGCAATATTCAGCCTATCTTCTGTGTGTATATATATTTAAAAATGAAATGCAACAAGTGTCCTAAGTTTACACTAAAACTGTATAATGCAGACCTCAAGAAATTCTGTCATTAGAGTGTTAGATGAACATAATTACCTATCAATGTGTTTGATTCCATAATTTTATATTAATTTTTTTCAAGCAAACTATGCAATAGGCAATTTATCTCAAAGAATTCTCAAACCTTTGGAAGCAGTGTGTACACAAGAGGGAAAACAAAGCAAAGCAAACCAAAACAAACCCAAGCAAACAAATAAGGTAGGCTCTGGAGTCAGAAAGACCTGAGCTGAATCCTGGTTCTGCCAGTTACCAGAGCAAGAATTAGGAGAAGCTGTCTATCTTCTTGGGCCTTCACTTCTCGACTGGAAATGGATATAATACTTGGACCTCATAGTCCTGCTATACAGAATATACTAATCTTTTGTAAACCAACCATATGATATATGGGTGTTTTCATCTATGTACCAGTTATTCTTTCAACCAGAAAAAAAACAAAACAAAAACAAAACAAAAAGCACAAAAGCATTTTAATAATGGGATTCCAGTTTGGAATGTTTTTTCAAAATGTTCCCTAACATATCTTGATTCTTTAATCTTTTACCTTACAGACATAAAAAAAGTAAAAATAAAAACTAAACAGTAATATAAATTTAAGTTCATAAAATGATGAAATGTGAAATATAATTATAGCTAACATTTATATACATAGTAAGCACTATGTTCCAAGCAGTTTTACAACACTTTGTATATATATATCAGTCATTTGTGTCTTTAAACCCTATGACTTATATGCGATTGACCATATCTTACAGGCCAAGGTGTTAAGAAATGTAACCAGGTCTCACAGCTAGTAAGTGGAGTCCTCCAGGTGGCACTGGATTAACATTTTTACTTTCTACTACATACTTACTGATCATAAAAGTATTCCAAATATACTAAAACAAACCAACAAAAAACCCCCAAAAGATTCAGGTTACCAAATGAAAAGTCCATCTTAAGACATTTATAAGGAGGAGAGCACATTTATTTCTCTTTGAATTGGGGAGACAATGGGTAGATTTTTTTTTTAAGTCACCTTAATTTTAGAACACATTAGAAGTTTAAACAGGAAATAAAGATCCACCAAAATTCTAAGAGTTGGGTTCACAAGTGACCATAAATAGCAACAAAAAATAAGCCACACACATTACTTTTTATGTTTAAATTTTAAATCAAATTATTTGAGGTATTTTACCTGACCAAAATTTATTCTTAAGAATGAATAAGGTGAAGTGGGAAAAGATGTGCATTTAAGGGATACAATCAATGCAGTAGGGCTCAAGTAAGTAAGAAAGGTTATAAAAACCAGACCTAGATTATTTTTTAAACTTCACTCATTTTATCTCTATGTAGTACTTTGTGAAACAGTCAATTAATAAACCTATAAACAAATAATTGAGTAATTTCAAGCCTAAATTCTTATTCCAATTCCTAGTCATCCACAACTTGATCAGGGACAGAAACACCAAAATGGAGAATGATGTAAAAGAAAAAAGATGAAGCAGGGAGTAAGAGGTGACTTGATAAGGAAAACATGAGGGTTATAATTTTTTTTTTTTAAATGTAAGGCAAATGTCAAAGCCTTATTAGCTCCTTAATCAAGCAACAATTTGACAGGCACTGATTTGATAAATATAGGAAATATAGGTGTCAGGAATGAAGATAAATTCTTGAGTGAATATATATTCTTACTGGTTGAAAACACATAGTTATTAATAATTTTTATATAATTTCAGAGCTGGAAGGTACCTTAGAAGTCATTAACATCATGACCTGTGTTCCAAAGGAATGTGGCTATATGATAACTGGACAACTGCATATAAATGGGATGTCATACATCCCCAAGCAAGATTCAGGCAACTTTTTAGGAAATCTATTTCTAAACCAGTATCATTGGCTTGTTCCCTTCAAATCTATTTAGCTACTAGAGTCAGCTATGTAGGCACTCACACATGAATCAAATGATCTACCAGCAAGTTATATTAAATATTCATGTCTAAATGGCACTATATAAAATACATAAGAAGGCTAATTTTTACCCCTTAAAGACAGCACTATAGAAACTAAAAGGTGTATCACAGCTAATGATATAGGTAAGCCGTGATACTTAATATTTGATACTCAACAATGATTTAACTATAGTCACCTGATCATAAACAGATCTCAGAGACTAAAAAAACTGGTTATGATGTTTTGAAAAATGTTAAAATCTAATCTTCATTAAAAAATATTACTAGGCCTTTAAGGAAACAAGTAACAAACGTCTCTCCTTCACAAGAGTTTAGATACTGTTCTACTCCCCGATTATCCAAACAGCAGGAATTCTTCAAATTTAACTAAGGAGTTCAAATTTATTATCAATAAATTTTTAGTAATTATTTAAACTATTAAAAAAACTTTAGTAGGTGATTTGACTGGGAACTGGAAGCTTTAAATGTATATTCTTAGAAAAGGCATTTTAAACATAATCATAACAGGAGTTCTTTATGATACCTCATGCCCATTCCTTCCTTGGGTGTGATGACTATAAATTCTTCCTATAGCTGAGAGAGGAAAATTTAGAGCAATGACTAATTATAGATGCATTTGCTGCTACTGTAGCTATTAGACAGGGTCAGCGGTGTCACTAAAGGTCTCTCTAAAGTTAAGAAATATAAGAAGATGGACTCCTTTCTTTACCAATCTGAAGACTGGCTCATGATACCCACAAAAGCAGCTGAAATCTTAAGTAATTAAAGTTCTGAAAACACATTTTAAGGTTAAATGTTTTTACTAATCCTAAACAGTTCAATTTTATTTATAGTTTTCTTTTCTATATAACACAAGATACAGACTGGCAAATACTCTAAGAATGAACTGATGTATAAATATAGAAACAATCAGTGAAAGCATCTTGGAAAAATCAAAACAATGATTACACATTATAAACTAGTGTTCAAAACTGTGGCTGCACGTGCTTTTTCACAAAATTATACAGAGAAAGTACATTTATTTTGGTTCCAGAATTTTCACGTCATTTCTAAAATTCAAATGCCCATTCCTAAAAGTGAATGCAACCAAAAAAATCCACAACTATTCCTTATATGTAACACACTGTGGTCTTTTAATTTTTATAAAATTGAAGAGAGCTTCAAAACAGAAAAGTTAAAAGATTACCATGAACAGCCATATACATACCAGCTGGATTCTATCACTAACATTTTACTATACACATATCATCATATATCAATCTCTCCAACCAGCCATCCACCTAATTATTTGATGTTTTTCAAAAGTTGAAGATATGACTACATATTATCTCTAAGCACTTTGGTATGCTTATCATTAACAAGGGTTCAACATCAGTTTGGTTTGTTACCTCCTAAGCGAAAATTTACATGCAATGAAGTGTACAAATCTTAAATGTACCACTTTGTGAGTTTTGTCAAATGCTTATTTACATATAAGCAAGGTCTATCAAAATACAGATTATTATCACCCCAGAAAGTTCTCCTAGACCAGACCCACTTTTCATCAATCCCTCCTCACAGAGGCAACTGTTTTTTTTTTTCAACTACAGAATCTAGAACCCCATTTAAGTGGAATTTCATCTTTTCTAGAACCTTATACAAATGGGATTAATACGTATATTCTTGTGTAAGACTTTTTTTGTGTGTGTATAAGACTTTTTAAAGATTCACCTGTGTTCTTTTGTCTATAAATAATTTGTTCCTTTTTATTCCTGAATGGTATTTGTTACTGATACTATTTTATTTTTTTAAAGATTTTATTTATTTGACAGAGAGAGATCACAAGTAGGCAGAGAGGCAGGCAGAGAGAGAAAGGAGGAAGCAGGCTCTCCGTGGAACAGAGAGCCTGATATAGGACTCCATCCCAGGACCCTGGGATCATGACCTGAGCCAAAGGCAGAGGCTTTAACCCACTGAGCCACCCAGGCACCCTGATACTATTTTAAACTGCAAAGTCCTAAATACCACAGTATGGATTCTGATTTTATTTCATACCTTCATATTGACGTCAGCCCCATTGCCCACTAGAAGCTCTAAACACAACGCTCCATGTGTTGATGCAGCAGCAAAGTGCAAAGGGGTAAATCCTTTCTCATTCTTTTGATTTACATTAGCACCACAGTCTATAAGTTCATTTACTACAACATCTTGTCCATTATAGCAGGCTACATGAAGAGGTGTATTTCCATAGGCATTTGGTTCATTCATCTATTGGAAGAAAAAAAATCTCAGTGTTAAAGTAGTCTTACTACTTGCTACAAGAATGAGAGCTCTTTTAGCGATGTGGTTGTAAGCAAGTTAATGGAATGAGAAATGGGTAAATACACAGATAAGGCTTACAATGCTAAAGTTCTTTTAAAATAATGAACATTAACAACAGCATTTTGGTGTCAAATAGATTTTTCACATTCAGGGAATATAATTTACACTTGCAATGTCTACTTCATGATAAAACTGAATGATTCCAAGAGTGAAATTTTAGGAAAATGAAAACATCATATATTTTTTTAAAGACTGTATTTATTTATTTGACAGACAAAGATCACAAGTAGGCAGAGAGGCAGGCAGGGGGGTGGGGAGAAGCAAGCTCCCAGCTGAGCGGGGAGCCTGATGCAGGACTCGATCCCAGGACCCCGAGATCATGACCTGAGCCAAAGGCAGAGGCTTCAACCACTGAGCCACCCAGATGCCCTGAAAACAACCTATTTTTAAAGGTCTTCAAAGTAAGGTACAGTCATAAGAATTAACTCTAAGAATCATGATAAATGAACACAAACTAAAAATTCTGAGAGATATTGAATAACATGCCTATTTTCAGCCTTTACATTTGCAGTGACAAAAGATTAAAGTTGGTAACGAAGTAAAGGTCAGGATTTAAAAAACTGAGTGGCACCTTTTTCTATCTATTTCATTTTTCCAACAAAGTTGGGCTCTAGATCTTTTCCAGCCTTAACATGTTAACATTTTACCAGAATGAATGTACTCTCCATACTGAGAAATAATTCTTGAGCCAAGTTTCTCTTTTAGTTCTGTTTCTAATAAATAAAACGGGTGAATACTTTAAAGTTTACATGACTTTACATAAAGAATGTGACCTTTGCCTAAAGAGATGTCTGGCCCTCACCCTTGTCTTCTGGGAGGTAATCTATGGCATATCCAATAGGAGGGTCCTCGTTTAGGGTGGAAGCTGGCTACACTGGATCTCAGAGTAGGACTGGCCATAGTCAATGTTCTGGGGGGTAGGATACACAATGCCACCTAAACCAACCATGTGATTTAGGATGCGGGATTTGGAGCCCTCAGTTATCACTGGACTTGGAAACTGAAATCAACCATGGGGGCAAGTGATCAATCAATCACACCTATGGCGCGCCTGGATGGTTCAGTTAGTTAAGCATCTTTCCTTGGCTCAGGTTATGATCCCAGGGTCCTGGGACTGAGACCCATAACAGGCTCCCTGCTCAGTGGGGAGTCTGCTTCTCCTCCTACTGCCTCTGCTCATGTGCTCTCTCTCTTGCTCACTCTCTTTCTCAAATAAATAAAATCTTAAAAAAATTTTTTTAAAAATAAAAAAATTAATCACTCCTATGTAAAGGAACCCCAATAAAAACTCTGAAAACAAAGCTCAGATGAGCTTTCCAGTTTGGCAATACTATGTGCATACTTTCACACGCTGATGTTAGGGGAGTAAGGAGTCCTAACTCCATGGGGAGAGAACAATGAACGCTTTCTGTTTAGAATACTTCTGGACACTGCCCTATGTATGTGTCTCTTCCTTTGGCTGATCTTAATTCACATCTTTTTTTGTACAATATACTATGAATATAATAGTTGTCAGTGAGGTATTTTTTTGTTTTTTTGTTTTCTTTTAAGTAGGCTCCATGCCCTCCATGGGGACAATATGGGGCTTGAACTCACAACCCTGAGATCAAGAGCTGAGCCAAAATTAAGAGCTGGAGACTTAACTGAATGAACCACCCAGTGCTCCTTCAGTGAATTTTTTTAATCCTTCTAGTGACTTAATGCCCCAATCCTGTAATTCATCAGAAGTAAGAGCAGCCTTATTTGGAGGTGCTCTTACTCTGAAGTTGGCCTCAACTTATCACAACTGTATATAACATTTTCTCTTCTGAAATCCCTGTTAACAGAAATTGAAGAAAGTAAAAAAATAACACTTAACTTTAGTCAAAGTACCTACATTTCATCACTAAAAACTAGGAAACATGGAATAGATTCTCCCTCAGAGTCTTCAGAACTTTGAAAGATTAAATTTGTTGTTTTAAGTCTCTCACTTTATAGTAATTTGTTATGGAAGCCCTGGGAAACTAATAAATCATGCAATTAGAGGTCACATGTCAGTAAACAGCTCTAAGTCTCATCATTTATTCCAAAGAACTCTCTGTCACTAGAGTTTACAAATGTTATTTTACTGTCAGTAACACAAATTTAAAAAACTGCATCAGAATGGACGTGAAACAGCAGTCAGAAACAAGATGCTCATTTATCTAGATCAAGGGTACTGTAAGGCATTATGCTACTCTGATGAAATAGAGCTAGAGGAACTGCTGAAAAATAAAACTTTTATTTGCACTCTACAAGACCCTACCTAACAGTATGTTTGGATTTTTGCAACATCTCACAATCCCGACATGTTCAGTTCCTACTTGTTTGCTTTAGGCAAAGTGCTTCATATTATCCTTAAAGCTTTAGCTCTATAATTCTGCCTTGCGTTCTTTATCAAACCAGACTAGTACATTTTTTGGTTTGTTTTTGCAGTTGATCTAAAGTCTTCCCTCCAGCAGAGCCTAACCCTCTCTCCTAATTTGTTCTTTTTAATCTGTTTTGAAGAACCAGACAAGTCTGTCAGAACGTACCTAAAATAAGAGTAAATATACGAAGAGGGGCATAAAAGTCAGGTGCTTAAAGGATGGCCTGTGAAAGTGACAGGTATTGTTATCTATCTCAATGCAGGAATTAAATATAAAGCAGCAACTCTCTTAACCAAAAATATTTATACAGTAAGGAACACTTACAGTTGATGGGCAAGAAGCCTCTGGTTTTCCTGCCTAGCTCTTGCCAATATCCTGTAATGTGAACTGGTATAGTCAATTAAAGGGAGTATTAGACTGAGCAAATAAGACTAACAGTAAACTAGCCACTTAGGAAAAATAACCCAAGTGTGTCTGATCAGCTAGAATGGAGCTATTAATCCTGGATAGTGATGAAGAAGAAAAACCTGTATCATTCATTTACCTTTGAAATATTCTTTACCTCTTAATATACTTTGACTAATTACATGATCAGATATTAGCATACTATATATTATGGAAAGGACTACAAATATCTAATTAAAAGACAAAAATATTATTGTATAAAATTATCTTAAAATTTGAAATAACTTCTGCCAGCAATGAAATCATAAACACATAAAATGCCTCCTTCATTTATACTGCTCAATCTATACACCTACATCAACTCCAAGATCCAGAAGGTACTTGACTACGCTGATCATTCCACTAGAGGCTGCTGCATGAAGAGGTGTGTAAGACTTCTTATCCTTGCATGTCACTTCAGCTCCATGTGCCACAAGTAATTTCACTACTTCAATGTGACCTGAAAATGTGTTTATGAGAGGGAAAGAAAAAAAAAAAAAGGAGTACAGGAAAATATGAAATATAATCCTGGATATCTTTTTTTTTAAAAAGTAAAAATGCAAATTAACTAAATAATGCATAAGTCACCAATAAATCAAGTTATAACCAGAGAAAGGATGGAGGAAAAAAAAACAAGAATTCAGGTAAACTTTTTTTTTTTTTTAAAGATTTTATTTATTTGACGGAGAGAGAGAGAAAGAGAGCGAGAGAGAGAGAGAGAGCACAAGTGCACAGAGTGGTAGGCAGAGGGAAAGGGAAAAGCAGGCTCCCAGCCGAGCAGAAAGCCCGATGTGGGGCTTGATTCCAGAACTCTGGGATCATGACCTGAGCCAAAGGCAGACACTAAAACCCACTGAGGCACCCAGGTGCCCCAGAACTCAGGTAATTTTAATAAATGTTGACAGAGGTAACTAACTGAAAACATTGTATTTGCTTATTTTATCCAGTGACAACCTTTTGTCTAGATCTTATTGTTTTCAAGATTGTTTAATACATTCTCAAGTTCTGAAATTGGCGTTTTATGCCCAGTGTAACACATTAGTTTACTTTTCTCTGCCTTGGTGGAATCTTCTACTTGAAAACCTGGGAGTCTTGTTTCTTAAAAACGTTTGGCTTTTAGAACATGTGGTTAAAAACTTCTCTTCCCCTATTATTTCTACCAGATATCCTTAACCAACTTCAGTTTGCTACTCACCTTTGTATCAATCAGGACAGGGTTATATGTGTTGTGGTTAACAATCAATTACTAGCATTTTATTTCTCATCAACACTATGGCAAGAGGGGTCTGCTAAGTCACTCAAAAACACAGGCTCATACAGCTGACATCATCTTGAATGTGGCCAGTCACTGTGCCAAAAGGAGGAATAGACTGTAGAATCTCAAATCAGCAATTAAATGCTTAAATTATTGCTCTGGTCCAGAGGTGATGTTGCTTTTAATTCACTAGTCAGAACTAGTCCCAGGCCCCAACATACCATACAAGGAGGCCAGGAAGGGAGACAGGTATCCAGAAAGTGGGAGAACCACTATGCTCCTTTTATTATCTCCCTGGTCTTTATCAGATTAGATTATACACTGCTTTCTTCCTCTGTGAGTGATAATGCTTCCCACCTCTGTGCCTTTGTTAATGAGATTCCTTTACTGCATGGAATGTTTTGCTTGGATGCCTCTTTGCAAGCACTGTACTGATCCCTGAAGGCCCACATCAGTACACATTTTCCCTGATCAACTCTGTCATTTCTCTTTCCTAGAAGTCTTATAAGCCAAAAGCACCATATACCTGTAAGTACTATCTAATAAGTATATAATACCTTCTGACAGTTCCTTAACTTGAGTCATTATTTAATTGCCCCAAATTACTTTTATGCATTGCTTTAAGTGCATGAGTTAACATGAGGTGGTAATCAAAGTAAATAGTATTTATTCAGCACCTTCTATGTCAAAATCATCACCGTAAGGTGACTGGAGGTAGAACTTGGCTGAATACTGCTGAAAGTACTGAAAGTGAGAGAAAAGATGAATGTGTAAAAGGGATCTTAACAGAGGTTCATGGTCAGAGCAAACAATGGGTAGGGAGGAGAAAATAACCAATTCTTCGGGGAAAGAGATGTAGCTCTGACCTAATTACAGATAATTCAGTAACAGCATAAGGATAAATTATACAGCCTAACAGAAAAGGGGAACTTCAACCAGGGGACAGAAGGCCAGGGCAAATAAGGAAGTCTGTGAGAAATACAGTATAAGACTACATGTAATTTTAATGTCTCTTGCACTAATATTGATAGATTCCCTGAATATAACCTAGAGAGGACAATGACCTGGACTTCTGTTCTGGTCAGTCTATGAGACCAGTCAATTGCTCCCTACTTTTACTTGTTTAGTTCTCTTTAATCCTGAATGCTTCGGATAGCTGAACAATTTTAGAAGCTATGTGTCAATACTCCTCTTTTTCCATGCTGAGAGAGGTAAGGAAAGAATTATAAATCCCTCAGTGTTTATGCTCAAAAATTAAATAAGATCCAAGAAACAGGAAACATCTTTTTTAATCTACTACTGGCCTGAAAAGCAACACCTAGTGCATCAAGGAAAACAAAGCCATCTGAGGAGGGCTCCTGATATATACACACCCAGCTATTCTGAGAGCTCAATTAGAGGCAACCCACAAAATCTTCTGGGCTTCAATTTCACGAAAATAGCTATTTAGTTAAGTCTTAATTCTTTGGAGGTAAAAGGCCTGATACATTCTGCTTTGAGTTTAAACCCCTTAATATAAGGTATACAGTTTTAAATGATGCAGATCAGCTGCTCCTAAACTGTCTAGAAGGATAAGGTACACTAAAATATTCAGAGAAGTCCCCAAGGCTTAAAATATGAAAAATGTACAGGCTGTGAGGAGGGGACTTTAGGATGGTATAGGAGACTTGTTTCTGGATGTTTACCTCCAAGTAACAGAAGAAAGCTGCCCATGATATAACCAGAGGCATGAATCTTTGGTGTGAGAGAAACATCAGAAGTCCAAAATGTTCAGCTTTTGGCTTTCAAAAGAGGGACATCTGATAAGGATGTTAATTTTCAGGAACTTTCATTTTTGATATTCCTTTACACTCATGCTAAAGGACAGACTTGCAATTCAATATGGATTCTGCTCTTTTTGTTTTTCTACTATAGGCAAAAAATTTTCCTGGACCTTGGGTTATCTACATAATTGGTTTGAGTGCATCTATTTTCTTCCATTATAAAATTTTACAATTTTATATAGTTTTAAAAATTAAGTCTTCCATCAAATTCTTCTTTAATCTTTTATTTTTAATGTGAGAGACAGGAAAAGACAAAACCAAGAGCAGGAAGTACTAAGGATAAGTTATGCCTATAAGAAGGGTGGCTAGCTAAATGTATTTGTAATCAGGCAGTATGAGTGGTAAATCAAGGAATAACTCCAGTATTACATAGGTCAGTCCATATGCAGTTTTTCTTAAGCCACAGGAGCCAGAAGAGCAGAAGCAGAATTACAACCTTTGTCAGGGAAGAGAAAAAACTCTGAGACTCCACAGCTGCAAAAAGGAGAAGTTGTTTTTTCAGTTTTATTTTGGAAAACTTGAAAAATTAATGTCTATATCCATGTCTTCCAGAGGTATAACGCTGGCCTTATAGGACTTGCAAGGTTCAGGGCAGGTTATACTTCCTCCATGCTTAGAGATGTACTTCTATATGCATGGTCTTAGCACCCACGAGTCAGCATTTCTACTCTGCTCTTTTTCTGCACTTAAAAATATCTTGAGGTAAGCTCAAGATCTGCCTGCTCTCTGGCTGTCCAAGTTACCTCCAGAACCAATTAATGTTTTTGGTAGTGCCCTGGTCACAATGTTGCATGGTTTGGGGTGGTCTACCACAAGACTGTTTTCCCATGAGCTTTGCTAGTTTAGAGTGCAATTTTGCAAATCCTAAGATTTTTCAAGAACATATATATCATGTTACTACAAAAAAACCTATATACTCTAAGCCTTAGTTCCTTTCTATGAAATTACTGTTGTAGAAATCAAACATGATGATGCCTATTCAACACAGTGGTGGCCCAAAATAATAGGATTCCTAAAGCATCTTCCTAACTTCTACCTTAATATTCCCATAAAAACAAGGATGGATATAAGAATGGGCTTTCAGTAAATACCAACTTACAAAAATTATGTTTCTCAGACCTGTGTCTAGGGTGTCTCTCCCTTTAAAGGTAAAAAGAATTATTATTATTTTTAAAAATTTTATTTATTTATTTGACAGACAGAGATCACAAGTAGGCAGAGAGGCAGGCAGAGAGGCAGGCAGAGACGGGAAAGCCGGCTCCCTGCTGAGCAGAGAGTCCGATGTGGGACTTGATCCCAAGACCCTGAGATCATGATCTGAGCCGAAGGCAGAGGCTTAATCCACTGAGCCACCCAGGCGCCCCAAAAGAATTATTTTTAATCAGCTTTTAGGAGAAGAGGACCCAATACATTATTGTTCTGGCAAACCTCTCCCACTACCAGGCTGGTTCCACTTGGGCAGCAAATTTAGATATGGTGTAACTTCCCACTATCCTAAAAAACAGATGTCATATCAAATGCAGGAACTAAAACGTACAAATTTTCCTGAGTACATAATGTCAGAAAATGAAATTCAAAATGTACATACCCATATATGCTGCCCAATGAATAGCCCGTCTATCCTTCTTGTCAAAAGCATTAATATTGGCACCTCTAGACAAGAGTAGTTTGACCATCTGTAATAAAAATAAATTTTCATCAAAATTCAGAAGTAGAATTATTCATGAATGTCCCTTATGAGGACTACTCATCTCAATCTCTCTGGTACTGAATTTCTGCATTTGTAGAAAGGAAGGAGCTAGACTAAATCTTAAAGACTCTTTAACATAATTTAATAAATAGTAAGACAAAATATGAAAAAAAGGATTTGCAATGGGTGTTATTGAGCAAGTATCAGTATCTTTCAACAGCTACTTTGTGTCCTGATATTTTATGAACAATGAAGTACAAATCTGGAAGGTCTAAAGGCGGAATAGTTAACAATAGGTTTATTTCTTTTAATAGCCCAAGGTGTTTTTAAAATATAAAGTGCATTCTTATCCCAGAAATGTCTTGAATTCAAACACAAATGCACTATCTATAATATGATTAGATCTGAAGGTCACTCCACGCAGTCTGCTTACCTCATAATGTTTCAAGAACAGTATTTCTATTCCATCTAACCATATTTACAATGGTTCCCCCACGGAAAAGGGCACTCCATGTTTCAAAAAAGGGACACAACTGTGACCTTAATTGCAGTGAAGGCAAGGATTCTTTATGTTGCAAAAAACAGAGAAACAGAGAAAACAGCACTGCGGCCACTAGCTCTCAACCATGGAATCTTGGCAATGTCACTTTACCTCTTTGAGTCTCTGTGTCTGCAACAAAAATGAAGGACTGGACAAGTTGTCCTCAAAGGTTCTTGTAATTCTTGTGTTTTCTTCTTTCCTAAGCCTTCTATGTACACATAAACCCCACTCTGCCACTATAACACTTAACATTAGGCAATGCTCGTTGTATAACTAAATACTAATTTTCTTAGATTTTTTTCTTTTGAGGGTCTGTTATCAAAAAATTTCTGACTAAATGTTGATAATAAACTACAAGTACATCTTTTCCAAACTCTTTTTTCCTTTGCTACTATCCTTCTGGGAACCCTATGAAACTGCTCTTCCTGTATTATTTTTTCCACAACAGGACGTACTTTTCACATTGTGTATTCTTGACAGTGTTCTCCTTCGTCTTTTCAGGTTGACCAGGAAATTCAAAAGCATGGTTTCTATCTGAGAAGTAAACTTCTCAATTTGAGAAATTTATATCATGAATTTTATTATGAAAAGAAGTCTGAGGATTTGCTAAAGGCAAAATTAGATAAAAACGAACAAGAAAGCTTTTTTTTTTTTTTTTTGTTTTTTTTTTTTTTTTTTTTTTTTTCTATTTCCATGGACTGAATCACTAAAAAGGGTAAGTTCATTAATTATTGGGGTGGGGAGTGGCAGGATGAAAGGAGAGAGAATCACTGTCTAATTGAACACCACCTACCTCACCATGTCCACTAAAAGCTGCATGATGTAATGCAGTCCTCCCCGCTCTATCAGACACGTTTACATTACTCAGAAGAGGTACCAAAGCTTCAGCACACTTTACAGCTTTATTAGCAGCAGCTATGTGTAAAGGGGTTTGCCAATTTTTGTCTCGAGCATTAACATCTGCAGAATGCTTCAAAAGTACCTGAACTGCTTCCTGAAACATATGAAGATAAAAGTTACAAAAAACAAATGAGTTAATAGTTTTCTTTTATTTTTAAGATTTTATTTATTTGTGAGAGAGAGAAAGAGAAAGAATGCAAGCAAGGAGAGTGGCAGGCAGAGGGAGAAGCAGGCTCCCCGATGAGCCAAGAAGCCCAATGGGGGACTCAATTCCACAACCCTGGGATCATGACCTGAGCTGAAGGCAGACACTTAACTGACTTGAGATACCCAGGTGCCCCGAGTTAACAATTTTAGAAACTGTATATATATTAAGGAACTAATATTTCCAGAGGAAATAAAAAGTCTGGCAGAACCTGCTATAAATAAGTAGGAATTTACCCAAGAAAACAAAATATTTTGGACTAAAGGCAGTACTACTCAGAGCTGTTATAAGATGCACTGAGATAAAACATTCCCTTTTTCTGTCCTCCTTTAAAAGGCATAACAAGGTCAAAATGTGCAAAAACAGATACTGATAAATATTCTTTAAAAACATTCATTATAGGGGTGCCTGGGTGGGTCAGTCGGTTAAATGTCCCAACTCTTGATTTTGCCTCGGGTCATGATCTCAGGGTTGGGAGATGGAGTCCCATGTCGGGTTCTGTGCTCAGCAGGGAGTCTGCATGAGGATTCTCTCTCTCTCTCTCTCTCTCTCTCTCTCCCCCGTTTTGCCCATGCTCTCAAAAAAAAGAAACAAAAAAAATGTTCATTGCTTCTCTTGTTTTTCTAGGTAATAAGATACAATTAATTTATACTTTCAAAAGTTTTAAGGAATTGATTGTTTTGCAATAAAATATATAAAAATTTAAAGCATACTATCTCCCAAATTAGTATACATTATATTTTACAAATGGAAAAATCACTAGTATCTAGTTTATTAGAGACAGAGAGAGAGAGAGAAAGATAGAGAAATAGATGCTGTGAGAAAGTTATTGTTAACAAGTCTATTTAAAAGCTTATTATCCAAAGGGATTTATCTCCCAGAAGCACAAGGAAAACTTCACAATACATCTATAAATTGGACTCATGGCTAGATACTAAGGAATCCAGTATGCTATCTACATTAAGCACTACAGTCAGAACTAAACTTAGCGATAATTTCTCCTTGCATTGATAATCCTATCTTTGGCAGATGAATGACAAAGCACACATGAAATGAAAAAGACCAGAATCAGAACTAAGCCTAGTAATACTGACTTTTGGTTTTCTTTCTTGTCCTTTTTTTTTTTTTTTTTTTTTTTTTTAAAGATTTTTTTATTTATGGATGCCTGGGTGGCTCAGTGTTTTAAGCTTCTGCCTTCGGCTCAGGTCATGATCTCAGGGTCCTGGAATCTCTCAGCAGAGAGTCTGCTCCCCCTGCCCTAACCTGCCTCTCTGCCTACTAGCGATCTCTCTGTCAAATAAATAAATAAAAATTTTTAAAAAAGATTTTATTTATTTATTTGACAGACAGATCACAATGAGGCAGAGAGGCAGGCAGAGAGAGAGGGAGGGAAGCAGGCTCCCTGCTGAGCAGAGAGCCCGATGCGTGGCTCGATACCAGAACCCTGGGATTATGACTTGAGCCGAAGGCAGGGGCTTTAACTCACTGAGCTGCCCAGGCACCCCAATAAATAAAATATTAAAAAAAAAAAGATTATTTATTTGAGAGAGAGAGCAGAGAGAGCATGTGCAAGCTAGCAGGAGAAGGGGTAAAGGGAGAGGGAGAGAGAATCCCCAAGCCAACTTGGGGCTCCATCCCAGGACCCTGAGATCATAACCTAAGCTGAAACCAAGAGATGGGCTCTTAACCAACTGAGCCACCCAGGCCCCCCGTTGACCCTTGATTTTCTTAAAAAAACAAAAAACAAAAATAACAAAATTAAAAAGCGTTCACAAACGTCAAGCAACTATCAATATGTCAAGTAGGAAGGAAGACAACTAAAAATACTATTATCTGTGATTCACAAATATTTTTTTGTGCCTTTCAAATAAAAAGTAATCAGAACTATTTGAAATATGGGAAATAGTGTAAGTATTTAACAAGACTGATAAAAGATTAGAGAGATGCCCAGTAGTCTATCAATCTCCTAAGGAAATCAGCCAGCAAAGAAAGATATATATGGAGACATACTCTAGGCCCCAAAATTCTACTCTAGCTATCTGCCCCAGAGAAATTTTTTTTTTAAAGATTTTATTTATTTATTTGACAGGCAGAGATTACAAGCAGGCAGGGGGTGGGGGGTGGGGGCGGGGAAGCAGGCTTCATGCTGAGCAGAGAGCCCGATGTGGGGCTTGATCCCAGGACTCTGGGATCATGACCTGAGCTGAAGGCAGAGGCTTTAACCCACTAAGCCACCCAGGCGCCCCTGCCCGAGAGAAATTTAAAAAGACCCACCTACTCAAGAACAGCCACGGCAGGTTTATTCATAAGAACCAAAAAGCCGATATGCAAACTGTTGTGTATCATATAATGAAATATTCCTCAGCAACAAATGTACACAGTATGAAGGATTCTCAAAAATACTAAGTAGAACAAAAAATTCACAGCACAAGAATACATAGTGATTCCATTTTTATAAAGTTCTAGAATAAGCCAAATTATCCTATGGTAGAAGATATCAGAACAGTGGTTGCCTCTGGGGACAAGGAAGACTGGAAAGGGACATGAGGTAACTTGCTGGCCTGAAGGAAATTTTTTTTGATTGGGAAAAAAGTTACAAGAGTGGGTACATGGATGGATACCTGTGTCAAAACTCAAGACTATACACAGTATCTCTGCATTTACTTTAAGTTATACTGCAATTTAAAAAAAAGGAATATGGAAAAAATGATACAGAAGGGAAATGGTACAAACACACCATCAGGATTCTCCATCTCACGAAGGGCATCCTGTGACTCAGAGGATTAAAACTAACACTATACTGGGAAATGTTAGTTAGTGTGCTAATGGATATACCAGAAAATAATTAAAAACAAAATGAACAATCTATAATTGGATAAATTAGGCAAACAGCATACTATAGATGCCAGGCTTGCCTTATTCATTCCCACTCTGGAATTCACACTGCATACATTAAATCCTCTGAAAAGTCTGGAGAATACTTATGTTCCATTAGCAAGAACTAGAAAAATCAAAACTATTCTTCTGTTTCACTGAAAAGCAGAAATAAATACAGTAGGTAAGGGAAGGTAAGATGGTACCTAAGAAAGGCTATAAACACAATTACTAAGATCCTAGAATCAACAGAGAGGAAAGTTTGAACCATGGGTTCATTGCTATAGACCAATGGCGTTGTTCTCCCGCCACTCATATGCTGAAGCATATGAAACTAATTAAAGCATATGAACTAATTAAGCATATGAAACTAATTAAACTTAAATGAGATGGAATGGAGGCAATCTAATCTGATAAGACAGGCCGCTTTTTAAGAAGAGGAAGAGAAAGATACCCCCGAATACACAGTGAGAAGTAGCAGTTTGCAAGCCCAGAAGACAGCCCTCATCAGAAATGGACTCTGTTGGATCTTGATCTAGGAGTTCTAGCCTCCAGGCTATAAGAAAATCAGTTTCTGTTGTTTAAGCCAGCCAGTCTGTAATATTTTGTTAAGGCAACCAAAACTATTATCACTCAGAACAGTATGTCAGATCACAACAGCAGTGATCTTTGAAAATTCAGAAAAATCAAATCTACAAATGGGAGACATTAAACCAAATCAAACAGGCAAATTTCTTTCTCTCTTTTTAGAGAGAGCATGCAAGAGTCGGGGTGGGGGGGAGGTGGAAGGGGAAGGAGAGGATCTTATGCTGGCTCCATGCCCAATGTGGAGCCCAGCTCACAGCTCGATCTCACAACCCTGAGGATCATGACCTGAGCTGAAATCAAGAGCGGACACCAACAGACTGAGCCATCTAAAAGGGCAAATTTCTGGAAATTACAAATCAATGAGCCTGATGTCATAACCTAATAAAATTTTAGATCACATTATTACATTATAAGCTTTCAGAAAATGATATAGGGATAATAAAGGGTACACATGGTTTTACTAATGGCAAATAATTACCATAGTAACCTCAATCCCAATTTTTCCATTATCAGACACTGTGTATGTGTAAGAAATGCTGCACATGTGCCTTGACTTTGGAAAAACATCCTAGAAAATATCCTAGGATACTTCTTCTAATAAGATTATGAAATATGGGGTGATGACCAAGGTTTAAATAATTTTACCTAAAGAGTTCATCACTCGGGTCAATCTAGAGGAGTCTATGGAGCACTAGCCATCTGTGGCTCTTTTTAGCAATTCTTCCCATTGATTTGAAGTCAGGCACAGGAAAAAGGGCTAACACATTTGCAAATGAACTTTAATAGCTGGATGGGCTGTTAATATCTCATGTGATAATATAAACTCAGTTTCTGGATAGCACTAAGATGTAATTTCTTGAGCTAAGTTAAAAAAGTGTATGTGTGTGTATCTTCCAGAGATCTAGCAGTGTAATGGGCTTCTTAAAAAACAAGCAAACAAAACCCAAACACAGACACATACACAAAGTCCTAATACTCAGAAATCAATCTATTAAGAAGAATACTCTGCATTTATAGAGAGCTGAACTGTACACTCCATTAGAAGAATGGAAGTCACAAACCACTGGTGGAGATGAAACAAATCAGCCAGCCAATATGAAGTGTGTGGAAGCCATGTCACTGAGGGAGAGTGAGGAGCTCAGGATATAAAACCAGAAGCAGCCATTCTCAACCTAGGTACCATGAAGGAATTAGCCCTAAGGCATCCTCTGTGCAATGAATTAATTTCTCCACTATGCTCTACAATGGTGTTAACTTCCAGAGGCCTTGGAGGATTGAGAAAACAGTCACTGATCACCCCGTCGTAGGGTTTACTTCTCTCGTGGTATCTCAAAAACATAAACCAAAGCTGCCTAAAATTTTGTCTTTTCCATACCCCTCTGTGGCTATACTTATTATTAAATGAAATTAATTAAATTATTGATTTATTAATAATTATGTTATTAATATCATAATATATTGTGTGTATAATGTATAATTATAAAATATATAAATACATAATGTAATAAGTATGACATTATATTAATTATTAATATAATTATTAATAATTATCAAATTATTAAAGTAAATTAACTCTCTTGGGGTGCCTGGGTGGCTCAGTGGGTTAAGCCTCTGCCTTTGGCTCAGGTCATGATCTCAGGGTCCGGGGATCAAGCCCCGCATCAGGCTCTCTGCTCAGCAGGGAGCTTGCTTCCCCCACCTCCTCTGCCTGCCTCTGCCTACTTTGTGATCTCTGTCTGTCAAATAAATAAATAAAATCTAAAAAAAAAAAAAAAAAAGTATAACTCTCTTTTGCTCCCAGGATGTAACTGAAGAAATTAAAAGAATATGGGTGAAACTGATAATCTTGACTAGGTTTCCTGCAAAAGAGTAATATACTACACAGCCCAGTAATTTTTAGGCTGGAAGCAGACTTAAGAAACTTCTTAACGATCACTGCTTTCCGGCCTATAGCTTGCCCTCAAGCTCAGGCTAAGCACACAGTTTTTAAAAATCAGCTGTCAAGTCTTTGGGAAGAACCTGTCATCTTCCTCTAATATTATTTTCTTTAAGAATTTTTGGCCTGTTTTACAATCTCTACAAATATACCAAAGTGTTCCTTCTTATGACTTAAGTTGGCAAAACACCAATTTTAAAAATCATATTTCCAAGAGTCATACTAAAATATGGATAGGCCTAACTTATTAATAGGTTCCAGAGATAGTATGTTTATCTTCCTTAACTGCCCTTGTTTATAGAAACTCTTTACAAGAGGGGTAACCACAAACTTAATTAACATTCCCATGGAATTTCATTGTTCAAAGTATTTTGGTTAATGTCTTAGCTTTCATGATAATCCCCAGATCTGCCTAAGATCCCACAGCTAGTACAGCCAGTTTCTCCAGATCCAAGTTCCACATTTCAACAGCTCCCAGATCCACAGTAAGATGTGTGCTACAGCATACCACCTATTACTATTCCCTCCCTCCTCCTTCCAACTAGGAGGCTACATCTAACACTGCCTCTGTCACATCGCAGGGTTTGAAATCCTTCCCAGCCACTGTGCCCCTACTTCTCTTCACTTGTTCTGGGCTCAACACATAGTTCACAATGAGGAATACAAAGAAGAATGAAGAGATAAGAGTTCTCTGGGCACAACGCTTTTTTAAAATGCACCTAATATAAAATGCATCTAATAATTTTAGAAAGAGAGTAAGATGACAGAAAAAAGAGGGTCCAGGTTTTCAGTCCATCTCTGCAACTGAAAAGTTGAGTGGTTTCTGGCAAACCATTAGCTACAATTCCCTCAAAATATCTATCCTATACGGCTATCAAGAGAACTAGAAGATATGAAAAACATAAAAATGAATGTTCTCCAAAAATGTCAGTTATCTTGAAGAACAAATCATACACAGTGTTATAAAGAAGAAGAAACTGTTCTTCCCCATGAGATACCTAACATTTTTAGGTTGTATATTTAGAACTGGTAAAATGTGAGATCATGTCATGTTTTTGACGCTAATTTCGGTGTTTAAACAGTATTTCTTTTCTTTTTTTAAGACTTATTTATTTATTTTGAGAGAGAGAGATCACAAGTAGGCAGAGAGGCAGGCAGAGAGAGAAGGAGAAGCAGGCTCCCCGCCGAGCAGAGAGCCTGATGCAGGGCTCGATTCCAGGACCCTGAGACCATGACCTGAGGTGAAGGCAGAGGCTTTAAGCCACTGAGCCACCCAGGCGCGCCCCCGGTGTTTAAACAATATTTCAGTGAACTGTTATATACTGCTGAGATTATTTCTTGATCATGGTCAGGAGAACCCTTGCAGCATGTTCAGGAGAGAAAAGACTGAGGAGGATTTTATAGGTATAGAAAGTAATCTCTCTTGTAGGACATATATGACAAGGGTTTTCTACTCTCTGCAGTTCACACTCTCCAAGAGAACTTTGTCACAAAAGAGAGATGGGAGAACAGTTAACTTGGTCTGTACAAATTCTAAAGTAAAATAACCAGTCTAGGTATTTTTAGTTGCTTTTTCCTTCTTTTGAAAACAAAGAATTTGAATATGGGCTCAAAGGCAAGCCTACTTAATGCTTTTATATACAATATATTTACTAAGAGAAATTTCATACCTCACTACAAGATGCAACTGCTCTGTGTAAAGGTGTCAACCATTTGCTGTCTTTGGCATTAACTCTAGCTCCTGCAACAAGAAGAAAAAAATAAATTGAAATATTTTGCATAAAATATTTTAAATAAATCGCCTGAAATATTAGTTATATATTATAGTCCAAATTGGATAAGTAACAATTGAAAAAGTGGTACTTTATTTTTTATACTTTCTGCAAATAAATTACTAAGTTATAAAAACAAAACTAGCCAAAAAGGTATTAGTTATTTTTATTAAAAATAAAAGAAACATCACTTTATATATAAACTAGAAAAGCACCTTTATACAGAGCATATTAAAGTAAAATAAGTCCCCATTTTAGAATGTGTCTAAAAAACTCAAAATAAGAATATTCCTATGTAAAAGGCAGACCATTACAAAGTCTTCATTACATTTCTTTACTAATGAATGTATCATGTTATAAAGCAATATATCAAAATATTTCTCCAATGAGGATTAAAAATGCATTAGTACTATAAAATTATTTTGTAAAATGGATACAGTAGCTATAGACTTAGGAAAAAAACTGAGAAAGAAATGAACAAACCCACATGTCTTTCTGGGTTATACATAAAGGTTTAAAGAATTTTTAAAAAATCAACTACATACAGTTATTTAAAAATCATTGAGTCAATGAACAAAAATTATCCTTTACAGAATATAAATGCACTTCGTAAGACAAAAAAATGTATTATGTAATTGGGGTGGGGAGGTGGAATCTATTGCTTATATAAAATCCACTGATTTGGTACCTAAACCCCAAACAGAAGGAGCAACCAAACATAGGACAGGTATATATCGAACTAGACAGAAATAGCCCTGGCTCTTAAAAGTATAGAGAAACTGGTGACAGGTCCTACACTGTAAGCAACCTTAGATTTATATCCAGGATCACAGCTAGCAAGTAAGAAGGGGCTTTAGAAATCTAGTTCAACCTCCTCATTTTCTAGAAAGTGAAACCCAGGTACAGAGAATCGTTTAACATCAAAGTCTAGTACAGTAGAATCAAGGCTAGAATTCAGATGTCCTAATGTTTGCATTCCATGTTTTGAGAGTGAGGTTCCAGGGAATAATCAAATGCAGTGACTCTGAGTCATAGCTCTAATTACTACCTATGGGTTCCTACCTAGTTGTGTGATCCCTCTGAACAAAAGTTTCTTCATCTATAGAGCAGATCTCCTAATGTCTTGTAACAAAAGTTTAACATAATAAACACAAATTCATTAGATACATTAGATACACAAATGTTAAAAACAGATTTAAAAGTCCTGAAAATGAGAGAAAAAAAGAAATGAAATACAAGCGTATAAAATCATTCACAAATATAACAGTTGAAATTCTGAGAGTAACTGAACTCCTGAGTAGAGACAAGTGAGGACACTGGAAGAATTAAGAACCAATATGATAGCTTTCACGACTGCTCAACTAGGCTTTAGAAGAAAGAGACTCAGCAGAATAAAGAAACAGCTAGAGCGAATGGTATATTTATGTAATAAATGTGAACAACTATCTGCTACACTTTTAGGAGACCAAGATGGTTAAAACATAGACTGTGAGACCACAATAAAGCCAGTATTTGTTCTGGGTAAAAGGTACAATGTAGACATTGCAAACATTTAAAATGCACATAGGTTAAAAGGTTGGAGTCCTCAGAGATGATAAAGGGATAATATAGAAGCTAGGCTCTGGCTCTTTCATTCTCCCATTTATCTGGTTGGAACTTCAAAGGTTCTCCATAATCCTTGTACCTCTTTCTACAATTTTCTGTTATGTGCATAGTAGAAGGGCAAATCCTGGCATTAAGGCTGAAAGGTAGTGACTCACTCAGAAAAGATAGGTACTCTGGGAAGACAAGGGTAGAAAAGAATGAGGCCTGATAATGGGTCTTCAGCAAATGGGAAGGGTCATTAAGTCTGATTCTAGGCATTAATTAACAAGGAAATTGAATGTGGCTGTCACAAAAAAATGGGAAGAATCTCCATGTACTCATAAAGAGCCAAGAAATAAAAAGTGAACAAAGCAGTGAGAATTGGATGAGTAATGTTCTTTAATTTTATGTAGAAAATAGAATAGGTAAGTATAAATATCTATACTCATATTTGCTTTATATACATAAGGAAACCCTGAAGGAACACTAAGACATTAATAACAGTGGCTGCCTATGCATTTGTGTAGGTAGTGAGGTACAATGAGAATTGAGTGATAGGGGACTGAGGTAGAAAGGCAACTTTACTGTATACAGAATATAAATATATACATACTTATACATACATAACTTTATATAAATTTCAAAATTTTAGAATAAAACTGAAACACTACTTATTAAAAAAAAAAAAAAAGAAAGAAGAGAGAAAAATGTATTTGAGAAGGAATAAAAGGAGAGACCATAAAAAAATTCCAAGAATTTGGCCTCAAGTGCAAAGAAAAAAATTGGGAAGTAACTAGGTAGAGAGTAAAGATAGTTCTTTCTTTTGAAAAGTCTGGGGCACCTCAGATAAGATACACAGTTAAAGAAAAAAAATCTAGTTTTGATGCCCACTTGGCAGCCTAAAGTAAAAGACACTGCTGGTTTCTTTCTTCCATTTTAAGTTATGATAATTAATTAATTAGTCTTCACTTTTAATAACAACTTTAATAACAAATTCAAAGTTAATTTATCAAAAAACATAAGTGACTACAACAAAGAATCTACTAATGGTTTACTGAGAATACAAAATACTACTAGTTGGTACTAATGTAACAGATGATGTGATAAAAAAAATCTGACTTGTCCTTTTTAGATTCTAAAAACACCTATCCCCGGGAAGATCAGCACCATAGCATTCCAGACCTCTGATCATAATCTTTCCAGAAGGCACTCATCTTATCTTTTGTTAAGTCATGTGTTTCTTTTAACAGCACTAATCAAAATGTTTTAATTCCTTGTAGATTAAAGGTCAAGTATACAAGAAATGGTTAACTATTTCTAAGGACACCAAAAGAACAAATATCTCCCCTGCACACATCCACTAATTAGTATACACTTTACATATTAAAAAACATAGTATACACTTTACATATAAACATATTGTATAGCATAGCAATATACATTACAAAGTGGCAACTATCTGTAAAATGAAAAATGGAGTAAGAGAAACAAACATGATGGCACACTTCAGATGTCCAGGTTCCTAGAGCTCATCTCATGTGAATTCTGAAGGTAACCAGACTTTTGTTCTACACAGACAGCTCCAAAATTAACCAAATATTCATAAACACAAGCTACAAAGTCATTCCAGTAATGAAAAATATTTCCAGAGTAAAGTTTCTCAGTCTAACAGCTGAAAACCAGCCACAAAGGCTAACAATGAAGATGGAGAAAGGGAAAAAAAAAAAATCATACTGACTCAAAACATAAGTCTTTGATAATCAAATGTAACAGCTCTGGTAGAAACATCACATACTCTGTACATGGCAGAGTATAATGCTTGTAGTTTATAAGGATAATCTTGAGTCACCAAGGAAAGATTAATTACTTTACTATTTCCTAGTCATTAAAAATGAAGAGCATATAAAATAGCAGCCCCATCCCAAATATTAAAGTTAGGTTACTGGGAGACCCTCAGATAAGAGGAAGCACTGCTAAGAAACTGAAGACAATAAAGATAACAATTTAAAGGTAATAACTGATAACTACTGCAAACCAACATTTCCACAAAACCTCCCAAGTGCTAGGAGCAGATCTCATTAAATCCAAGGTAGTTATGCCCAATTGTGTATCAAATACTTTCTTTACTAGTCTCCCATTCCCCCCTGCCCCACAAAATTCACATATAAGGGAAATCCATGAGCTCTCCCTTAAGATGATAAATAAGCAGTCAGGACGTATGCCACATCAAGTATCTGAATTTAGAATCATCTTCCAGAGTAGAGATGTGATTAGATTTCCGGAATGTTAAAAGCAAAAAGAAAAAAAAAAAAAAAAAGCAAAAAACTGTAGGGTAACCCAAACAGGTTGTATCAATTTGATACCACCATTAGATTATATAGAAAAATTCAGACAACCAGCTTCCTTTGACCCAGTCTTTTCACTTAATAATTCATACATATAAAAATGTACTGACAGTTTTTGAAAGAAAAAAATTAAGATTTCCAGAATTGGGTCAATGTCTAGCTCATCTGAAGATAAACAAGAAAATAATTTTAAAAATAAAAAGTCTGGGGCACCCAGGAGGCACAGTCAGTTAAGCATTTGACTTTTGGTTTCAGCTCAGGTAATGATCTCAGGGTTGTGAGATCAAGCCCCATGTCCAGCTCCATGCTCAAAGCAGAGTCTGCTTAAAACTCTTTCCCCTGTGTTCTCTCTCTCTCTCTCTCTCAAATAAATAAATAAATAAATAAATAAATAATCTGATTTACTTACATCAGTCTGTTCTGAGCTCTAGACAACAATGCAGCTGAAGAGAAGTCTGGACTTGTGAGGACACACTCAGGCATTAGAGGAAGGAGCCCAGAGGCAGGACCTATGACCTAATAATGGCCCTGTAACAAGATGTCACGTGACCTGGGGCTGTTCCCCAGAGCCTAGACCTTCATGTTGTTAATCATAATCTCTGCCTCTTATGCCTTCTGTGTATATTGGGGAGTGACTGCAGAGGGTGAGGGAGGATGGGCCCCAGGTTGAAACAACATAGGGAACTCCTGTTTCTGCAAAGTGGGTTCCACAAGTCAGGAATTGAAATCAGGAGCATCCCATTTAACTCTAGGTCTCAACTCATCTGTTTTTTCCTCAATCAATGAATAAGATCTGCCAATTCTTCGAATTTTGAAACTAAGTTATCAGTAAAATAAGGTTGTGCTAAGTGATCTCTATGATCCATTTCCCATTATAACGTTCTATCCTAATTTGGAATAGGTACCCAGAATAAATTATTTCATACTTATTAAATACCCTGCCCTTCCTTAACATTAAGTAGATAAGGTAGCATCTTTTATAATCAATACCAAGGTGTCTTCAATTACAGTCCGCAGACTGCCAGCCACCTATTTTGTAA